TTTTAAAAACAAAAAAAGTTCTGAGTACAGGCATTGAGGTTCCTTGATCGCCGAGAAATCAAAATGGACGTCACTGCTAAGTCAGCTAAGTGTCCACTTTCAAACAAAGTCTCCTCATCATTTCTGATGTGGCAAATGGATTTTCCTGATTTTGGAGGGAAATCGGGATTATTTAATCTCCCCGCTTCTTCTTCGTACATGGCCACAGAGGGGTTAAGACATTTACCTAAAGTTACATTGATTCATACAGAGACTTCCAGAAAAGGGGCGTGGCCACCTGATGGGAGGCTAATGGTAACTGCTTACATTTCCTGTCGGAACATTTGTGTTTCCTTCAGTTAAAAAAATTAAAAAAAAACAACTAGATTTATTACAAAAAGATGTCTGAAGCGATGGTATCACCACACCGAAGTTTTTTAAAACCGGAGAGTGTGATCGAGAGAGCCCCTTGGAGCACCATGGGCTGCAATTCCTCCCCCACCCTGGGGCCCACTCGCACCAGGCGATTGAGTGACAGCCAGCGGAGACCCGCCCCCTGACACAGTCTCGTGCTGGTTTCACCAGGGCCACCCCCCAGCCGCCCTTCCGGTCCTTTCCACAGTGTTCCGCTCCGAAAGGGAGCGCTGCCCATCAGTCATCTCAGGATCGACCCCGATGTTTTAAAACCCTTGCCATTTGTACCTTCTAAAGGTAAGTTGGCAACTATCATGTAGTTAGCAAAAGTGTATTGATCTTCACCGTGCATTTCATGCTTCCAGAGACTTCTTTTGCTCCCAGGAGGGCTCTGAAGAAATGTGGTTACATAGCAGCAAGGTGGAACCAGTGGAAACCAGTGGAAAATAAGTTTGTCGTAGCGAAACCTCTGTTTTGTTTTTTATCCGTATGACAGACTTGAGCTGGCCGGCCCATCCAAACTTTAAGATTGACTTTATGTTACTGTGTAATAAGTGGGTTTATTTCTGTGTGTGGAAGAATAGAATTAGTAAATATTTAGGGCACGTAAGATGGTTCATTTTTTGGCCTATTTGTAATACTGGAACACTAAATATGTGGTGGTTTGATTTCACTGAAGCCTGGAATAATTTCCTTTCTCTAATACATTGCTTAGGGCTAGTAGATAATTCAGAAGGAATTCATTTGGCAATTCTAAGCCACTGAAAAATCAACACTATTTTATCTTGGGCCAACTGTGGACAGATGTACCCTACAGAACCAGGACATTCCAGGGATATTGCTTTCAAGTTTTCTGAATGGAATATCTTATCCCCAAGCATCTCTGATTAGCCTCTCTTTCCTCCTCCTCACTCCCCAGCTAATGAAGACATAATAACGAACGAGTTTTATTTTGTGACAAATTCAGAACCTCTTAAATTCGGCAAGTTTAATGACATCTGCGGAATAGAGTTTTGCTCAGTTTTCTACAATGTGGACGGTGTAACAATGACCAGTCTTTGTCTCACCCGTGTGCTTGATGTGCCTGGGCGTGTTTTCCCACGGTTTCGGCAGGACAGGAAGTAACCGCAGCTGCGCAGGGAATTGTTACAATGATTAGACCTTTTGCCACCTGCCCTTCAAAATGCGAACGGACACTCGGACTCTGGGTTTGATTGTCTTCAGAAGTCTTGTCCTGTTAAGTCAGAAGGAAAAACTCCCTGTTGGCATTATGTGATGTCCCGTAAAAAAGAAAAAGTAAATTGGTGACCATTTTCCCTGCTGATAAATAAGTATTTAAATATAGTTGAGGGCAGTTGATCTTCGATCAATCTATGATGCTAGAAAATATATGTTGGATTACCTTATGCTTAGAGAAACAGGATACCCTAAACTCTGGCCAATCAGAGGGTACTGAGCAAAGGGCTAGATGATGAGAGAACACATGAAAAAATGGCATAAAAGTTTCAGGTGATTTCATGCTGCAGATGTGCTGCCTAAATGTATCTGTCATCTTTGTTCTTTTCTCTTCCCTCTCTTTTGTTTTTAAGAGAAGGTTGCTTTTAAAAATCATGTCCTTAAAATGTCTTTACGTTGTCAGTTTCATGTAGCAAATCTGTGAGTCCCCTGAACTACAAAAGGGTCTTTCTCACGCTGTCACTCACAGACTTACAGAAATTCGTCTTCATTGTCAACTGCATAAATTCTTTCCAGACCAGAGTTGGCACATAATCCCCACTAATTCTCCCCCGGCCCCCAAACATCAACAACACGGCTTTGTGAGTCCAATAGAGTGACTGAATTTCTTTTGTTTCTGGGGTTTGCCTGTGCACTATTCGTATGAGGGCACTTTTAAAGCAGAAGTATGTTTGCAACATTACTTCTTTTGGGTAAAGCAAAGAGAGACAAAGCTTTCAGTGGAGGATTTCATTGACTTCCGTGACCCATCCAGCGCCGTAGGAATCGGGAAGAGAGGTGTGTGTTTGCTGTTCACGTCTCGTGTCTGCAAGTACATTCAGAAAGACAGACGCTTTCCTGACTCACCGAGGGGCCGAAGTGACCGAGCAGATTTCTGGATGTCCTAACTCTGGAATCAGTCCCATACACATTTATGTCGCTGCAACTGTGCTTGTCGGTGTGTGTGTATGTGTGTGTGTGTGTGTGTGTTTAATTACTAGGGATGTTTTTCATAAAATTTTTTGTGACTTTTCTGGGCCAGGAGTGATGGTGCAACAGCCAGCTTGGGGGTCATGCCAGTGAACCGTTAGTGCTCCTGACCCCTCCCCTCCCTCCACCCCCACGCCTCCCTGCACCCCCAGCTCCACAGCGGAGTACAGAGCAGTGCGCTGGGCTGACTCCAGGGCATACCTTCAGCCTTCACAGGTTGCGGCTCCATTCCCTTTGGCAGGAGCAATATTATTCCTCTTCATCAAGTGATACTCATTTTGTGTCCTCATGACCTTGACGGAGTAGCAGGCCCCCCGGCAGGTGGGATGGGGCTGGAGGGCAGCAGTCTGCTGTGCTGTGTGGGGGCTTGCTTTACGCAGAGCCCGGGGTTTCCAGGGATTGGTCAGTGGTGCCGTGTCTCATCTGGAGCAACCGGAAGCCAATCGATTTCTGAAACGAGGCTTTGCTGCCTTCTACAGGGTGGGGGGGGGACGACGGTGAAAGAGCGGGTTTTTGCAGGTTCAGCAGCAATGTGGGATAGTCAAGGACTGGATCCCACTGGGATCGTTCATGGTCCAAACATATATGTGATTCTGCGATACCAAGTATGTGCAAGAGATTGGGCATGTGCGTTGGAGCAGCTGGTGGTCCCATCTCTGAGGCAGAAGGAACGGCAGCATGATGGGACGGCAGCGGCAATGGGCTGAGACGTTTTATCCAAAGTTTACTGGTGTAAGGTAAGGACCTTACACCTGACATTCTGCTTGGCACCTGGAGGCTGGCGTGAATAAGACATGGTCCCTTCTGTCCGGGAGCTCGCAGATGTTGAGGAGAAGAGGAATATTAGAGCAGATGAGGACAGTGACAGGCTCTGTTGCACCCCACGGAAGAGTGGTCCGGTCTCCTCCTGGTGACTGCATTGCAGTGGGAGGGGGCGGAGCCTCAAGCAAGGTTTCAGGGGGAGGCGGGGCTTAAATTCAGTCCTGAAAGATGAACACGTGGGACAAGAAGACAATACTTGGGAGACGTACCAGACAGGGCCGGAGGCTGAACAATCTTTGGGAACAGGTTTTGTGAAACAGCTGGGTGCCCACTGGGAACCGCAAGCAGCCCTGCTGCAGTGCGGGGGCAGGAGACGAGGAACAGCGTTCGGAGGGGCAGCGCTGGAGAAACGCACAGGCGCCGGAGCCCGGCCTCGTGCGGAGTGCGGGGGGCCGAGCGTGCAGAGTGCGGGTCCTGTGCGGTAGGTAGGTGAGGAGCTGTCCCAGGTGTTGAAGCTGGTGAATGACATAGTAAAATGTACACTGGGTGACTCTTCTGAAATATATATTTTATTTCTTTAGAGAGGGGAAGGGAGGGAGAAAGAGAGGGAGAGAAATATCACTGTGTGGTTACCTCTCACACACCCCCTACTGGGGACCTGGCCTGCAGCCCAGGCACGTGCCCTGACTAGGATTCGAACCTGTGACCCTTTGGTTCACAGGCTGGTGCTCAATCCACTGAGCCACACCTGCCGGGGCCATCGTATGACTTTTTAGTCTGGGCCGGATGAGTCAAGGGAAGAGAGTGAAGCATGGAAACCAGTCTGGAGACCGAAGGCTGCCCTAGACCAGTGGAGTTGCCGTGGTGAGGGGTGGAGAGCAGGGTGGAGCTGCCAGAACCATGAGGCAGAGTGGGAGGAGGGGTAACAGCAAGGACATGTGAGATTTAAAACGTCGTGCCTCCGTTGTGCGTCTGTCAAGGGGTGGGTCCAATCAACAATTAATAGAATATCAGTCCTTCCCAAGCAAGGAAGACAATCCACACACCCCACAGGCGTGCTTGTAAAATGTAGGGAAGGTGTTCAGGTCCAAGGTTGACCTTGATCTCACATGAACTGTGCGTCCAAACAATGCCTGGATGTGTGGCGTTTTCTGCTGTAAGACGTGAGTGTTTAGTAAGGGGCAGGGCGTGTTCTCTTCTGGTTGGAGGTGCTGTGGGAGGGTGGCCGGCCTTGGGTTGCCGATGGTTTCCACGTGCTAACCTGGCACTCGCAAGCCTCGGACAAATGACTGAACCTTTCCGAGGCTCCATGTTGTGATCCGAAGACATCAGGGTGGTCACGCTGCCTCTCGAGTTTCAGGGGAGAACGAAATGAGACGGAAGCCTGTGAATGCGGCCGAGTGGCCACGGCCTCCTTCTTTTCCGATTTCCTCTCCTCTCAGAAGGGTTCGGGGGTGGCTGGCCTTTCCTTCTCGTCTCCGAGCTCAGCCTTCCCTGGCTAGGAACCTTGGGGACCCTCAGGGGAGTCTGCCTGTGCCGCCGCCCTCGTAGTGTTTGAATCCCTCGCGGGGATGTTGCTGGTGCAGCCCGATTGCCCAGAAATGGCATTTCTCAGTCTCTCTCTCTCTGCTCCCGGGCAGGACGTCAGCTGCAACGAGATCACCGCCCTGCCGCCGCAGATCGGGCAGCTGAAGTCTCTGCGGGAGCTCAATGTGCGGAGGAATTACCTGGAGGTGTTACCGCAAGGTAAGCAAGACGGGGCGTGTGTGGGGCGGTGGATAAAACGGGAGACCCTGGCTATTTTTTGTTTGCTTTGCTGTTTGCGTATGCCTGTTACTGCCCATTTTAATTGTCACATGCGGACAACAGGTGTGTCCTATTCAAGCCGTGCTGTTAGCCAGCGGGCACAGCAGTCAGCCATTCCCCTGCAGGAGGCTGCGTGTGTGTTTGCACGCGTGTGTGTTTGCACGCGTATTACTCTGCTGGGGCTCCCATGACAGAGCACCGTGGACTGGGCGGCTCACACAACAGAAATCTCCTTCCTCACACTTCTGAAGGCTGGAAGTCTGAGATTAAGGTGTCGCCCAGTCCGATTTCTCCCAAGGCCTCCCTCCTTGGCTGGTAGACGGCCGTCTTCTCCCAGTGTCTTCACATCCTCTACTTTCTGTCTGTGTCCTCATCTCTTCCTAGAAGGACACCAGTCCTATTGGATTGGGGGCCACCCTAATGACCTCGTTTTTAACTTAGTTCTTCCCTTTGAAGGCCTGTCTCCAAATACAGTCGCAATCTGGGGGTCAGAGCTTCAGTGTAGGAATCTGGGGGCACACCACTTGGCTCACGACAGGAGGCAGCGTGCATTGTCGTGGGTATGGACCTGTGATGTTCTGCAACATCACACCAGCCGCGTAGTTAGTGTGCTTGGTCGTCCTGCAAGTCTGATGGCCAGGGTTTCTTGTTGAGGGGGAACTGGCTGGAACCCCCCTGTGTCTAAATCTGTTCTTCAGGGGAAGGCACTGCCCCTGCTAGAGTGACACTTGGACTAATGTCACTGGAAGTCTGGGTGACTCCCGTGAAGTCCCTCTCATGGCCCTGCTCTGGCGCAGACTCGGGGTCCTGCCGCCGTGGGCCTCTGCAGGCATGCTTCTGACACGTTGTGTCGGCATCCAAGACAAAAGATAGGTTTATTCAGAAATTTCGGACCATTAAGAACTTCGACAGTCAGCCTCGGAGGTGGTCGTGGATCTGAATTTCATGCTTTGGGATTATTTGGATCTCTATCAGGAATGTGTCAGAAGGGCGCTGAATGCATTCTCCAAAACACCCTCTGATTTTCAGAGGTCACATCCATGTCCCCAGTTTTCATCGGAGGACACTGGGCTTGCCAGTTTCACACACGTGGTGAACAACACCTCAGAGCACAGCCACAGACGGGCTGGGGGCAAAAAGAGGTTTACCACCACGCGCCTGCGAAGCAGAGCTTATTCATGTATTATCACTAATTATTGTTATTTGCCATACGAACAACTGTCAACCTTGACCCTAACCTATATTTGGTGACAGTTGGCATTTGGTTAATCTGACGCTGATGCTGCTGTTTTGAGAGCCGCTCGATTTTTATTCTGTCCCTGCATCTCAGTCTTTGGCTTGAAATGCTTCATGACCCGGGGCAGGAGAACGGTGCCGAGGAAAGGGAAAGGACTTCGTGAAATGAAACGTGCTGTACAGATGGGTGGTTTGCTGCCTGCCGTCTTCTCTTTCGCATGCCGACTGGCATTTTAAAGAAGTAGAATTAGAAATGGTCTCTGTGTATAAGTTGATTACTTCAATACTTGAGATGACATGGCATAAAAATACGGATTTTTTCCTTTTGTCACTGTGTGGTCCCCCATTTGAATGTTCGCAGTTGTGTTTCTTCGTTTGCGCAAGTACAAAGGGCAAACTCTTCCCACGTTTATCAGCATATAATCTTTCATAGCACAGAAGAAAACGCTCATTTCAATGTCAGTTCTCAGGTTAATCCCTGAGAAATCATCGCAAGTCATTGCATTTTTTTCAAAAGGAAAACATAATTTAATTGTTTAACAGTTGCCTGTGATAGTTTAGAAGCGTGTGGGAAGTTCATCTACAAGACCAAGACGTTTGCTTCTCTCACCATCCCCAACCCTTACCTTAAAAGCATTCCTCTCCCTGAAAAGATTAGTTACAAATTTCTATGCTTTCCATAATTGTGTTTACTCAGGGTCAGTATTTTAAAATTCACTCAAAGCTAAAACATCAGTGTACTCGAAAATCTTAAAAAAAAATAATTTCCTGACTATCCGGTTTCCTTTTGCTTCACTCTGGAGAACTCCATTAACAAAAGAGCATTGAGGATGCTTTCAGGCCGCGAATTTAAAGACTTTCTGCATTTACTTTACTTATTTTTCCTCCTGGAGTGCCCCTTCTCATATGCTTTCCATCTGAGGAGTGGAAGAAAATGTCTTTGGCCTAATTACCCACAGAAATTCAAGTACAATGGGGACTGTGTTTTGTTCTTTCTGGGGCCAGAACTGACAGTGGATTAAAGTAGCTGTTCGTTGCCCTTCTTTATCAGAGAGAGAAAAGTAAGATTCCTTTTTTTTTGTTTTTCCTTACTCCCTTTTTCTGCTCTGTTTCTTTTGAGCTTGTCTGGGCTGGAGTTACCATTTCCCCCCCCCATGTTCTTGTGAAACACTAAGAGGGTCGCTACCATTCCCACTTGATGGACTCGTAGGGAACTTCCCCGCCCCGCTCCTGCTCCGTCAGCTCTGCTTTTGCTTTAAAAGGTCTTCCTTTTAGGTGGCAGAGGATTCCTGAAGCTCTAGCATCCAGGTAACATTCACCACTGATTTGCTAACCTGACTTTTGTGAATAAAGTTAATCATCACAGAAGAGGACTGATGTTACTAAAGGTTACAGCAAGGAGCCAGTCTTCTGATACATAACCCCCCTAATTCTTACCCATTTTAGAAAGAAACTGTGAAGTGGAAAGGGATCTTCCCCCTTTTCACCCCGCCCTTTTTTTTTTGACTTTCGGGATCCCAAACTGTTCTCCAGCTTCACTTACTCCCTCTCTTCTCCGCCTCCTGCTGCTCCATGCCTTTGCTCAGAGCCCTCACGAGGACCAGCAGGTGCGGAGGCAAAGCCTCATCCCGCTGTTGGGCAGCGAGCTGGGTTCCAGCAGTGAACTCCCAGCAACTGAAAAAGTAGACTTCCTGATTTCCTCTCACCCAGCCGCCTGGCCTGGACAAGAACTGGGGACCTGCTGAGTCCATGTTCTCCTTCTCCCTTCTTTCTATCATTTTAGCCCCATCCCTTCTCTCTTTAAGACAAAGCCATTCCTGGAGGCTTTATGAAAGAAGGAAAGTCCTTCCCAGCCCAGGACTAGCTGAATTCTGGAGAACAGACACTGGCTGCTCGAAGACTCCTGGTGGAACTCGAACGTAGCATACATAGCTGAGTGAAGCGAAAACCCCTGGTCCTCTAGGCAGCAGAAGGAGGAGGAGGAGGAGGAGGAGGAGGAGGAGGAGGAGCAGCCACCCTGTTCCCCCGCTTACTTCAGGGTGCTGCCTTTGGCTCCTCCTCTTTTTCTGGTTCCTGCCCTTCCTCCTCTTCGGAATCCTGAGCATTTGAAAGCACCATGTCCCAGCCCTTACCAGGTCCAGTAGCAAATGTGGGAGGCCTGTTCTGAAATGGCACCCCTCCCCCCACCCCCAGAGCCTCTTGCGCAGAGATCCAAGTGGTTTGTTCCCTGTTACCCTACACGTTCGGCATGACTTGCCTCGCTGCTGTATGGAGTATGTTTGACTGGTTTCTTGCAGCTGCCGGTGCCAGTTGGAATGCTTGAAATTACTGAGTGCTCACTCTGCCACTGGGTGGGGATTTTAAGCTAAATATAATGTTCTGTTTTGTTGGTGGAGCTACAGAAGATTTTTTAAAAGCAGGAGAATAAAGCCCTATCAAGTTAGGATTACAGGGTTCTTTGCAAAATTCACTTCTTAAAGTGGAGTGAAAAAAACCACGAACGTATTTCTCGTAACTAGTGCTGAGGTCATGCCAGCCAAGATACATTAAACGGATAGGAATATGCTATGCTTAGCGTATTATTCATGTTACCAAGCACTGCTTGGAAACACTGGAAGTTAGAATATGTTTTGTGTGATGTGGCGTATGTGATTGCTTTTACTGTTTAAAACCATCTTTACACAATCAATATTGTAAATATCAAGTATTTCCCGTCCTTACCAGCACTAACAGCAGTTTAAACGTATGGAACTCCCAGTGGAAGGTTCCACCTACCCTTTGGGTGCAGTGCTACGCCTGTTCGCCTGCACTCACTCCTGACCCAGGGCTTAATTTTGCTTGTGCTCAATGACGTTTCTCCTGATACGCAGACAGTGAATTTTTGAACGTTTGGCCATTCAATCGTGTTGCTTTCTGAGTTTCTTTCTTTTTTTTTCTTTTGTTCCTCTTCTTCCTCTAGAGCTAGTAGACCTTCCCTTGGTCAAGTTTGACTTTTCCTGCAATAAAGTGCTCGGGATTCCCGCTTGCTTTAGACAGATGAAGCAGCTGCAAGTGCTCCTCCTGGAGAACAACCCTTTGCAGTCGCCTCCTGCGCAGGTGAGGGGCCGGGCAGGCGGGCGGGGTGTGCAGGGCCGCTCCGGTGACTGGTGATGGTCTGTGGGGTAGTGCGGCGTTCGACCTGATGCTGAGCAGGGACAGTCCCCGAAAAGGCGAGCCCTTGGGTGCATCCGACGGCAGTAGGTTGCCTTCTGCCACCTCAAGCCCACGGACCGGCATCGGGTTCACTCTCCTTCTTAGTACTGCAGCCCAGTTGTAGCCGATTATTTTATTATTTAGACGTACATTTGACACTTTTCTGTGGAGTGAAAAAGAGTCATAGAGTCCTTACTTTAACATTGGCTGGAAAGTGGAGCTTGAGCATGTTGAAATATGATTATTGGTTATTTAGAGACAAGATTCGAGCTCAAATATTAAACAAGGAGGAAAATGGAGTATAAACGGGTCCACAGTTGGAGTGTTGCCAGGTTAGGTGTTGGACTTCTGCAGTTTTTTACACTATTTACACTTAAATGCATTTCTGTTAGGATTTTGCATTTTTCCTGCAAGACAGACTAGAAATTGCTGGAGCGTGGATTTCTGTTCCAAGTGGAAGAAATGACTGCCCAGATTCTTCTGTGTTTCGTAGAGGCCACATTGGGTGTCGAAAGGTTCCTGGGCATGAAAATGCAAACATTAAAATACACAGTCAGCTGTCTCATGTTGATGTTTTGTTTTGCCATTAAAACATTAAGTGTGTTATGGATGTGTCCCCAGATTTGCACAAAGGGCAAAGTGCACATATTCAAGTACCTGAGCATCCAGGCCTGCCAGATGAAGACGACCGACTCCCTGTACCTGCACACGATGGAGAGGCCGCAGAGTCAGCAGCACGTGGAAGACAGGTGTGTGCACCCACCCCGGCTCCCGGCCCCTCCTTAGAGCTTTGCTTAGGCCAGGATGTTCCAGGTACCTCACTCCAGAATTCTTCTGCTTCGCTAACCAGGGCAGACTTATAACTCAGAGTTTCAGAAACTTGGAATAGGAAAGAGAAAATTGATGCTGTGGGTAACATTTTGGCACCTCTCAAGTCTTATCTACTCTCTCCTAATCAAAAATCAGTCCTTCTTAATGCTGTCTGTGTGCACAGTTATGTGTGTGCAAATGTACATGCTTATAAATAAGGTGTAGCGTATAAACAGGTATTTCTTACTTATCCACTAACACAACCATATCAAGCTCAGACATGGTTTTTTTTCCTTACTAATTGTTAATATGCCCCTGGGACATTGTTCAGAAAAACTCCAGGTTTTATTTTTTTAATTGTCTTTCTGAGATGCAGCGTGCCTAGTTTCGCCATTTCCTGTTGAGAACGGAAGTGTTAGAGTCCTTCCGTGTGTCCTTGGCTGCTTGTTGGCACAAAGTCGGCCTTGTGTTTTCGGAGAACTCACTTTAGGACACAGGTTTGCTTGGAGACACCTTTGCTGCAGACACCTTTTTATTAAAAAAGGAAACTAGTGACTTAAAATCTTGGACCACTTTAATGGCACCTTTACATAAAGCTTAAAATATGTTTTCATTACTTTTTAAAGATGTACCTCAAATTTATTTAGTCACTGGGTTCAAGTTTACTAAACTGTTCAAGACTGCCAACATTTCAAAACCTAAAAAAGCAATTAGGTAGTTTTTGCGTTTTTTAATGTAAATAATCAGAATAAGGAAATCGTTAACTGTTTCAAAGAATAGGCCCCTTGGTTAAAGCGTAAATCCACAAGACCCCCGAACACAGAGAATTCATTCTGTGCTCTGTTTAAACAGTGCAAGTATCTGGTTCCCATCACATTAGGCCCTTGTCGTAACACCCTTTAGTACTGAGCCACTCTGTTGCCTTATGGTAGTAATAAAAATTTGTAGAGCAAACTCATAATTCGAATATAAACTGATATGGCGTGTGAACTTTGCGCTTTTGCTGTTTCCTCTGTGAATTCAATCTTGACGGCACCCACCCAGCAAGAAGGATTCTGACTCGGGCGTTGGGAGTGATAATGGGGACAAGCGATTATCTGCCACGGAGGTAAGTTTGTGATCTGTTTGCAATTGTTTTTTCTTTCTCTGCTTCTAGCTCTATCTGCTGCATTTATTGAGACCCTTTCTGGTAAAAGGCATGAACCCTCTGCGTAGGGATATGTGATAATGTTTGTGAAAGCAACAATTAGAAATCCTCTGAGTGTTGTATGAACATTAGTCGTCGTTAGCTTCTTCTGCATCTTTAGTGTTTTGCCAGTGTCTCAGGAGTAGAATTCCTATCTCCTTGCCCTCCTCCCCGACACCCCACATTATCAAGAATATTCTTGAATGCTTAATATTATGAAATGAGTAAGTGAGGTGCAAGTATCCATGAGGCATTTGTAATAAATGCTTGTTTTTAAGTGACAGAGTACTTTCGGGAAAGGTTTCATGCGTGACTCCTGGAAGAACTCTCTTTAGGTCATTTGGTAAAAAGTTCATTAGCTTTCTAACGTGGTTGTAAAATAGCTTACTTAGCATGTTTGTTATCTCATTCAGAGCCCGTTAGATGCCCCCAGAGCTTTCACTGCTCTGCCATTAAGTGAGCCTCCTGATGCGGGGAAGCGAGGAAGGCATGGGTGGAGTGAGGGGCGGCGTATCACCAGGTCTTCCCTCATTGAGGGAGTTTTTGTGGTCTCAGAGCTTGAGACACTGTAATCCTCTTTGAAGGTACAATTCATAGGGTACAATCAATGTGTGCGACTCAGGGAAGATGTCTGTTTCCAGTTCTCTGCAGACCCTTGAGGTTTAATATACAGTTAAGTATCTGGATCTACTCCCCCTCCTCCCCGAATTCTTTATAAAGCAGTGTATTAAAAAAAACCAAAAACTAGGATACTTTAACCTCTTTCTCACAGAACATCTCAGGAGGAAGGAGAGTTAGCCAGAGATAAAGGGCCTATCCATACAAGAAAATGACTTCGGTGGAGCCACATGAATAGTTCACTGTGGTTCCGGGGAGGGGCTGCGGGGAGAAAATGATCGACACATCGCTTTACACGTTGTATTTAATTCAACCCCTTTGGCTTTATTAAAACCGGCGAGTCCCCTGAAATGCCCCGTTGTTTCGGAAATGACTCACCCTAAACTCATTTTCTGTTACATTGACACACATTCTGCTTTCTCGATTACCTGCCTTCTAGGGGTAAGTCCACTCACGAAACATCGCACAAAGGACTTCATTGTCCTTCTGTTCTCGCTTAGTGTGAGTGGGATGCTAATACTGTTCTGCAGGAGCAGGCCAGGAGTTCATTCCCCCCCTTTTAACGAGATGCGTATCTTTGGAGTTCTGCCGAATGTCTCAGATGGGAAGCGGCTGGCAGGAAGCAGGACTCCAGAGGAGGTTCTGTTCCACAGAATAAGATGCGCACATCTCACAGTGTAGCTTCATTACCTGGGGACACCTCCAAGAAATTTTTTTTTAGAATGATCAAGATTCTGAATTAACCACTGTACCTTTTTGTTTCTGCTTTGTTTGGCAATATCTATGGCCAGCTGATCTCCCCACCCCCTTATAGCTCATTGTGGGGTTCAGCGGTGCCCCCCCCCCCCGCTCCTTTTCTTGCTGCTGCCATTTTTCTGATGGACAGTATTGGTACCTAAGAAGTTAAAAACCCATTTTCCTCAAGATGAACAAGCCAAAAAATTGGGACTCTGCTGAACGTCTGTTTACTGGAGGAGACACCCATTTGCTATGTCTGCCAGTTTCTGAACAATCTGCACCCAGGTCTGAAAGGGAATGAGCTCTGTGCTCAGAGAGTGGTCGCCTCTGGAGCGGGGGAGCGAACCGGGTTCTGGGGGGCAGGGTCCTGATCCCTGTGACCGGAAACGCTCTTCACTGAACAGCACCACTGACGTGGGGACACAGGAAGATGAATGAGGCTCCCTGTCTCATTTGTGTTGGGCCATCAGTTTTCTGAATCAGCATCATTAGTTGGTGTGGGAAGCGAGACTCCCAGAGAGAACTAACCCCGTGACAAGTCCAAGTGTCATTCCGAAAACTTCACAGAACACGTGTTCTGTGGCAGTCCCACAGCCGTCGAGCCCTTTTACCCACTAAGGCAGCACCCTCACCCTGAAACCGGAGCTTAGTTACGAAGCACAGAAAAGGCAGTATAGATACATGTGACATTGTCCCAGAGGTTCACCGTCGGCTTTCTGTGACGAGCCACGTGAGACCGCAGAAGGGTTGTGCTGGATCAGTGTTGTCACATCTCCCAGTGACATTCCTGTGGACACAGCTGATTTGACTTGGGGACCCTGTCATAGCCCGTTTGTTAGTATTCCTTTGTTCTGCCAAGTGTCACCCAGCCCTTCTCAGTCCCCAGACTGTGTTAGAACATGTCTGAGAGAGTTTCCGCTCAGAGCATGCGTGGAGAAGTACACGGGTGTTAGCCCGATGAATCTCGACAGCGTGAAGCCTGTTACCAGCTCCCAGGTCAAGGAACAGGACTTTCCCAGCACCCCAAAAAGCCCCACTCCCGAGACCACCCCACCCCCAAGCTTGATCTTAAACACCATGGGTTAGTTTTGCCTGATTTTGAGCTTAGTAAATAGAACTGTCCTTCATAGCCGGTGTCTTTTACGCAATACTTATGCTTTTGGGAGCCCCGGTCTGGTGCTGTTCCATCACGTGGCACTCTCTTCGTCTGTGCCGGTAACCCTTCCCCGTGCCTGAAGCAGCGCCCTGTTTCTTTCCAGCCGTCGGATGAAGATGCGGTCAGCCTCAGCGTCCCCATGTCCAACATCAAGGAGGAAGAGCAGATCACCAGGGAGGACCCGCGGCATCACCTGAGTCCAGCGAAAGGTCTGAGAATGAGAGGTGGGGAGGAAGGGTTCTTTTTAAGTTTCAAAGGCCGTGTTCACACAGTGCACAAATACGGTGATAACAGCTGATCGGGAAGGCGATCTCACTGGGAGTGCAAAACTCGGAGGCGGCCCCTGACGATCTCAGTTTTGTGGAGGCTGCCGCGACCGGGGCGCACAGCTGGTACACAGTGAAGCTGTCCTCCTTAGTCACACATCACACCTTACGGAGGGCATGAAGGCCTCCCCTGCTTTCTTTTCTCTGTGTCTTAAAAAGTCAAGACGAAATTTCATCTCTTTGACAAGGAACTAAGACCGACAGAGGCCTTGGACTTCCGAGTTCATTTTGGGGCTTTCTGCTCCTGTTCCTTGTCTTTCTCTCCTCCCTTCTTTTACCTTTTCCTTACGCCCTTCACGGAAGAGAAAAAGAGGCAGGAGAGAAGACCGAAATCGTTAGACGATACCTTCCCCCCTGAGAAGTGAACCCACCTGTCACGGTTCCGTGTTCGGGAACTCACGCTTCCCACCGGCCTCTGTCTGCTTTCCAGGGGAATTTCGTCAGGAGTTTCCACCCGAAACGTCCCTGCTGGGTGACAGTTCCAACTCAGGGGAAGCAAGAGACCAGTTTACCCGTGGAACCGATGTTCTCCACCCGGAATTTGTAAACTACATGAAGGCAAGTTGAAGACCCACTAGTTGTGTTATTTACTTACTTCCGTTTGGTTCAGGTCACCACCGAGCACCTTAAATGCCAGCTCGCTGCCACCTTCCCTGGGTCTTTATAGCTCCCCTCCTCCAAGACCAGCGTGTTTTTACACGCTGCCAGGAGGATCCACACCCTCCCACGCACAGCCCTCCACGTGGTGGCGTGTGCATGGGATTTGGAAGTCACTCCACTTTCCCCTGCTCTGGCAGGCAAATGTCCAAGTTACCGTGGCCGATCAGTAAAAGCTGAACAAGCCAAGTGCCACCTTCTCGTCCACGTTTTCGAGGTGAATGCTTTTCCCAGGGGTCTGTCCACAGCAGAGAGAGAAAAGCGGGGACTTCTAGGTTCTGGAGTGAGTGTCTTCCTTCCCCTTTTGGAAGGCCCACGCTGAGGGCGCTGGCTCCCTGGCTGTTGTCAGGGCCGTAAGGCGTTGGAAGGCTGGGGGAAGTGGCTGGGCTGGCAGCGAAGCTTCTTTACAACAGTGGCGAGGAGGAGAGGAAAACTAGCCTGTGAGGGAAGCTGGTGGTCACGGTGTCACCTTGAGACGCGGTTTAGTGCCTTGGTAAGTTTCTGCCAGTCCTTTCGGTTCAGGTTGTGGCTCCCAAAAACGTGAGGATGATCCCCTAGATGTTCAGCCCAGCAAGAGGCCTGTCTTGGAAAATCGAGAGAAGAATGCTAATGATAAAATAAAACCTACACCTACGACGAAAAGCCCGACATTGAACGCCAGGCGTCTTTTAGCCGTGAGCCGCCTCACTTGTGAAGCCTGTGAGTGCGTGCTGGACGGCCAGCAGGTGTGCCCGCCGCTCAGTCCTTGAGGACCGAGACGTCCCTGGCTCACAAAGTCCTGTTCTCTCTCCTCCGCCGAGCCAGCATTTTGTGCTTTTGTCACTACAGCTGGTCCTCATTGTTCGTGGTGGTTCTGCTCTACAAAGTGGCCCCCGGCACTGAGTTGCCGTGTCCTGAGCCACGTCTTCAGGGCACACACGGGGTTAGGTTCTGTGTCGGACGGCCAGTACATGACCTTGCTGACCGCAGTTTCTGTGTTGCATTCACGCATTTCTATTTAAAGACACCTTGTAGATGTGCCTTGTTGGTTTGTTGACATTGAATTTGCGCCCACGCCCCTCACTCACGCCTCAATGAAGCGTGTCCGACACATTTTTCTCTGGAAGGGACATCACAGCCCTCTTGTGCCCAGGAACATGAGACCATGCTGCAGCCCCGTGGTGGGGGTGTCTTGAGCACTGAAATCACCCAGAAAAACACCAAAAAAATGTGTAAAGGTGGCACTAAGTGGACTCTGACAGCTGAACCAAGAAGGCAGAGCGTGTCGGGGGCTCAGCTGTCACCGTCCTGTGCAGGCTTGCGAGGGACGCAGGGAGCAGCATGCGTGTCAGTGTGGGGGCTCCAGTGCATTGCACTGAGTGAGCAAAGTTATAAATATGGAATCCACAAATAATGAGGACCAACTGTGTAACCGTCTAACTCAGCAAAAGAAGCCCAGTAAGCCCTATTTTGCATATGGAAAGAAAAACGGATGTTTCACCCTTTCGGCTGCTTTTTGTTGGGAAACTGAGAATTTGGAGGGAATGCCCATGGCCTCTGCTGCTGAAGCCTGGCAAAAAGAGATGAGAACATGTTTTCTCGGTCATCGCTGGCGGCGTGTTTTCTGCCGTGGACTTCACTGTCACTCGGGCAGTGTGGCCCAGAAATTGCTACGGTGGCATTGCTCTGCGCTGCTAAGTAAAATCCATATAGAAAGTGTCTGAGTGTTTTGCAAGCTGGAGACTAGTGTCAGGCACTAGCCGTCTCACTGGAAGAAGACGCGTGCTCAGCGACATCCAGAGAGTTGGCTGGACTCATGTCAGAACACAGTCCGCTTGGCTGTTGTTCTTTCCTTGCCAGAGAGCATGTCCTCATTCGGGGCGGCTTCTGAGCCGGCGGTGGGCTCCCGGCTGCGTGAAGGGGCGTTTCTCTGCGTCAGAGATGAGAGTGGAAGTTCCAGCGGTGGACGTGCCGTTCCCAAACTACCGCCAGCGTGTCTTTGGGAAAATAATGGGGGGCGGGGGTGCGTTTCAGTGAAATCGGGATGCTGCACACGTGAAACCTGTTAGATGTCCTTGGAGGCATTTTCTGTCAGTATGTTATACAGTCCTTTGCCCCACTACGCATGCATGTGTGTGCACACACACACACACACACTCTTCCCAGAAATGCTGGAATGCACACCCTCATGTGACTGACACGCCCAACAAAACCCCGTGAACATCCAGAGGCGCGAAGAGGGAATAGGAATGAAGAGTTAAATTTCTGTCAGGAAGTTAACAGGTATCGTGGTCCTGGGCTAGGTTTTCTTTTTTAAAAATTTTTATTTTTAATTATGGTAAAATAAATAGAATGGGAAAATTACCATCCTCCTCATTTTTAAGTGTAAAATTCAGTGGTGGTTAATTACGGTGTAGCCATCACCACCCTGCCTCCGGGAAGGCTTTTCATCTGGTAAAACTGAGATTCTTCACTCCTTCAACAGTATCTCCCCGTTCCTTCCCCTCCCCCAGCCCCTGGCAGCCATTCTGCTTTCTGTCCTTACACATTCGACACTTCTAGGGACCTCATAACAGTGGAATCATATCCTAGGTTCGTTTTCGTGGCCAGCTAGTTTCACTTATTGCCGAGTCCTGAAGATTCAGCCACATAGGAGCATGTGTCAGGACCGCCTTCCTGTTTGGGGCTGAATGACACCCCAGTAAGGGTAGACCCCACGTGGTCGATCCATTCACTCGCTGATGGACCGGGGTTGCTCCCACCTCCCGGCTGTGGTGAGCCATGTTGGCATGAACGTGGGCTGGGGCAGGGTTCGACAGTTGACCGTGGGTAGCCAGTGGCTCTCAGAAGACCCGTGTGTTCTGTCCACAGGGCAGGGTGGTGGACTGCGAGGAGCCACTTCGGATAGAAGAGGACGCGCCCTGGCAGTCCGAGGGGGCGTGAGTACGGGGCCTGGGGCTTAGCTGCTGCCGGCAGATTTCCAGGTTTAGGCAAAATGGAAGCTTTGTCGTGGTCGAGTTCCAGTCCGCTTTGGGGGCAGGGGCCAAGCTGATATTCTTACCCAAAGGTATTGATAGGAAGTTGCCAGCTTCCCTCAGTCTCATGTTCATTGTCACAGGGTTAACTCGGTACAGCGCAAGGTCATGCCTCTTCCTCGGCCCTGAGCTTTATCAGATTTGAGGCTGTAGGTAGAAATGTGACTCAGGGAATTAGGTAGAATTTCTAACGTGGAGATTCTGGCTTCCTTCCATTTGTGCGAAGAAGCCCACAACTGGACCTAACGTATTAATAGATCCGACCCCCCTTTTTTGCCTAAGCTCTTCGGTGTCTAGATCTGAGATAATCACACACCTCTCACGTCCTGGCCCTGAGTCCAACAGTTGTAATAATAGCTTGCATTTATTAAATATCACACCCCGTGACAGGCCCTGTCTTAAAGACGTCACGAGTAGTAATGCATCGCAACTTCTCAGCAGTCCTGTAAGTCCATTTGCCCTCCCCATTCCGCAGATGACACACTGAGGCACCCAGAGATTCATGGTTACGCCCCACGGTCACAGAGAGCAAGGTGGAACCCAAAGAACCTCACGCCAGAAGGGTAGCCCTTCGGTTCTGTTGCCCACGAAGAGTTCCTTGGCAAGCTTTATGGGGGCGGGCATGAGCCATCTGTATGGGCCAGGGGACCATCTCCTGGGGACGGAGTTTGGGCCCTGTGTCACAGAGCAGGATTCTGGTTCATGGGATTTTGTTTTCCACAGTGGGGCACGGAGGCTTGGACCTTCTCCCAGACCCTACGGGGTTTCTCCCCTTAGGGGGGATTTTCCACGCTGTTAAAAAGTCCCTCCACTTACATTCTGTAGTGGAGGGGAGTTTCCATGGCCACATCTCTCTCGCCCTTTAAAAACCTTAAAAGGTTGCTTTCAAATCACTATCCAGTGTGACCAGCATTCACTGGGTATATTTCTGAAAGACCAAGGAGGCCTGGCTTGATCATAGATTTGTAGAATTATAGGGAAAGGCTTCTTTAAGCTATATAAAGCTCTAAAAACCTCATTCTTGACCTTGTTTGTGTCTGTTCTCAAGCTTGCCTGTAAATCAGGGCCATCTGTAGAGCTGAATAAAGTGCCCAAGCCCTAGTCGGATCTGCCTGGGACTCCCAGGCCTGGGTTTTGCTCTGCTGTGAAGTGCCGCGGACGATTGTGCGATTGTGCGGCATGTGGGGCTGAGACCCAGAGCCCCTGTCCCACCCTGAAGTCCTGCTGGGCGAAAGCTGTAAAGCTGAGCCGCCTCCCCCTCTGTTGCACAGGCGTTTGGAGGTCTGGAAATAGTGCAGACCCGCCTCTGCCCTCGCCCCGCCCCGCACCCCTGGGCCCCGTCCCCCAGGGCTCAGGAAGGCAGCGGGGAGCCACCAGCTGGTCTGGTGCCGACTGTGCAGGTGGGTGGGTGGAGGCCCCCAGCACAGGCAGGGAGACTGAGAGGCTTTACAGCAGCGCTGGGCTTCCCCCATCGGGAGCTCTTTCCGGTACATTCCGGCAGCTCATCCCGCAGGGCCCTCTGACTGGCCTTTGTCATAGTGTTGAGGTATCAAGACCACGTGCGAGACCTTAGCTGGACATGTGTGATTTTGCTCCTAAGACCCAAGGTGACGTTCCTGTTCTGTGGTGGGTGTCATCTCACACTCGGTTCTTGGCTGCAGGACGCATCCGTCTGAAGACCCGGACGTGGACATGGCCGTGACGGGACAGCTGAGAGACACAGAGTTGCTGCAGGATTCCAACAGGTGCGCCTGTCCCCTTGGCCCCAACTCCGGGTGTAATTAATACGAACCAGTTCCTTGTCTCACTTGATACAAATGTTTGTGTACACAGTACAGTTGTTTAACTCCCTTTAACTCTCACGTTCCCCTAAGGCCCATCCGTGAGAGTCGAACTTCTCCATGGATGGAGACCAGTTGCCCCTTCTCCACCCTTCAGTGAAATGCGTTCACTCTTCTGAAATTCATGTGGGAATTTTTAGCATAATTCTTAAAAAGCAGAAATAGGGTAAAAGTGAGTGTTTTATGTTGCTTAAAGTCTAAATTTCTGACTTACAGAACTACAGGAGAGATTTTCCAAAAAGGCAAGAATTGTTACATCAGGAACTACCGTATTTAAGTGATGGTGGCAAATAGGTGTTAACTAAGGAATATATTTGTAATGATTTAGGTCCCAGGGTAATTTTTAATTGAATCAGCCATTGTCTGTCACTGGCACTGTATACAGTAGATTCATTTTTTAGTTGCTTAGTTAAGGAAAATGAACTTCCCATGGACAAAATATTTCCCAGTAAGATACTATGCCTGATGTCAGGTAATAACTCCCTTATCACTGAAGACATAGATCTCATGCTTATCCCTGGTAAACTCTTCAGGGGTCCTGGGAATTTAAATTATCAAGATGATGTGGTCTTGTCATGGGGTGAACTTGAAAATCACACCCCAGCCACCTCCGCTTGGTTCTGGGAATTTACCAAAAGGTGGTCGGTGAGCGTACCGCCCGCCAGTGTCGTCTGGCCTTGACAAGGTAGTGACGTGTCAGCTGGACTGTGATGAACATCTTTAGCTGTTGATTTGAAAAGCATTTCGACACTGTAGATGTTCATTGAGTGTCTAGGGCATAGGAAGATGTGGGGTAGGCGCCTTGGGGAATAAAAAGGTGAACAAGACACAGCTCTTCTTTCCAAGAACTTCCACTGTGGGAGATGGAGTTTCCTTGGGCAGTTATTTGTAAGTGTAATAGATATACACACTTAAAGTTGGTTGACTAGAGCGGATATCTGACTCCCACCTTCCGGAAGGTTTGGGTATTAACCTTGAATAACTAGCGCTTTGAAGGGCAAAGCAAATCTGGGTTGACTGGGAAGCTTGGGCAAGGGCCTGGAGGTCAGAGAGAATGGAGCAGATAGGGTGGCCTGCGCCGTGGCCAGGCCCGGGATCCTCGGTGGGACTTGGGAAATGACTCCTTGACGTCACTTGTGGGGTGGGGTCATTTCCACTCCAGAAAGCCACCCCTGTTCCTGTGAGGTGCAGGTGGCCTGAGAGTCTGGGGGGGGGGTTTAGTTGGGGGGGCGCAGCGGGCGATGTCAGACGGAGTCGTGAGGAGCTGAGACTTTATTACATGTAGAGGGAGGTCATGTTGTTCTTGCTCTCTAATCGTTGGTTTAGGCCAAGTTTTGTATTAAGTGCCTAGTCAAGGCGTGTTCTTCACAGAGCTGTGTTTGCGTCCTGAACCACAGGAGTTAGTGACGAAAGAGCTTGTGTGTGTGCGGTGTGACAAGTTCGTAGTTGTTAACGGTTGAGAGGATGTGAAATAACATACACACTACTTGTGGGAAGGTAAACTGGCAAAACCACTCCAGAAGGCATCCTAGTATTAATAGTGTGCAGGTGGTGACCTAAAAAATATAGAAACCATTTCTTTAAATAAGTTCTAAAAATATATCCCAAGGGACAAAGGATATGAACAAAGATTGTGAAGGGGGGGTGTTTTTAATAGCAAATATTGGGGAAAAGGGAAATACATTTTGGTAATTAATAAGGTGGAATATAATGTAGCCAAGGCAATGTGTTTTAAAGGTTTCAACATATTTTAGGATGCACATTATGTAATATGAGTGTTAAGAAGTTTGATCCTAATTATATCAATAGAATTAGGTTTCAAATGTGTAAGAAGCTAAGAAAAAAATCAAAACTGGAAGGAAATATATCATGACGGGTAGTTTTCTGCAGCATTTGTAAGTAGTCTGTAATGTTTTTCTACACCCAGATATTTTACATACGGTGGGAGCTGCTGTCGTGGCGAGGACGCAGGGAGGGAGAGGTCCCAGGTGGTTTAGACCCAAGCCCCGGCATCTCCTCTGAAAAGGGGAACCGGGAGGGACAGCAGCTTGAAGGTGCCCTGGGGGTCAGCTAGGATGTGTGAAGCAGCGGCCAAGGGGGCAGCGTGGGGACGATGTGCACCCAGCTGCTGGAGGGCTGCTTCTGGGACTGAGTGGCTTAGATCTGAGGCTCGTGCTCCCCAGGGGATGGAGTAACAGTAGCTGCAGAAGCGGCTGAGGTCCTCAAGGGCCAGCGTGTGGATGAGAAGGGATTGTGCGTCCAGGACAGAGCCTTGAAGACAGGGTGTGACAGAGCGCCAGCCGCTGCGGGCTCAAACTTTATGTTGTTGTAACACACTCACCTTTGACATCTTCCACTGCTTTCCCGGTGAGTTTTTTCCAGATTGAGCCCCAAATCAAGAAAGAGCAGCCCCCGTAGAGGGGACTGGCAGTGTCATGGGGGGTTGGCCTCTGGACCCAGGAGTCGGACCCAGGTGGCCTGGCGGCCATGGCTCCCTGCTCCGGGTCTCAGTTCTTCGGCGGTAGGCAGACTAAGGATTTCGAGATTCCTCCTCTCAGCTTGGAGATGCCTGAGCAAGGGGGGGGGGGGTTGCCAAGTTGTGGACGAAAACAGCTCTGTGTCACCTTCCAGGTGGTAGTTGATTAGCACCTTTCGGGAGCAATATTACAAAATGATGTTGTTCTTAAGTGTTACACGGGTTTCATTTCCTCCTGGAAAATAACCCTCCAGTTTTGCTGCTTCAGGTCTTTGTTCTTCGCCCTGAAATAATTATCATGAGACGATTCCAGCTTGCTAATAATGCTTCTGTGAGCCAGGCCTGAGCTTGTTTCTGATAAAAAGAAGACCTTCTAAGAGGTTATAGCTGCTTGGGGACAGAACGTTAGTAACAAAAACTTTACATACACATTGGATTTTTTCCTTTATCTCATGTCACAAATCGAGACCTTTTTTGTTGCTGTTTTAGTTAAGCCTATGATTAAATTTTATAGGTTTATCTTTTAGACAATCTTAACATCAAAAAGTCAGGTTATTATCCTATTTTGCCTTTATCTGGGTTTCTTAAGGATTTCCTATTGTTGGTTTGATATCATTTTTCAATAAGCCTGTATAATATGAACTCACTCTACCTTTTATGTTTTTAGTTATATTTTATTGATTATGCTATTACAGTTTTCCTGATTTTCCCTGCTTTGCCCCCTGCTACCCAACACCCCCATTTATTATTAAAATAATAATAATAATAAAAATAAAATATCGCTCCCACTTTTTAAAATAGCATTGTAACCTTTATACAACTTGCAGAAATCCCTGGTTTTAAAATTGCAGAAACTCAGAAACTAAGACTATTATGAATTCTTTTTTTTTTTTTTTTGAATGAGGGTATTAAGAGTCTATCAGAAATGTCTTCCTTTTAAAACAAAGTATTCCTGGTACATATACCATAATGCAGTATCCTTGACTTTACTTGCTTCTGTAAGTTAAGCAATTGCTAGAATGAAATTTATTGTACGCTACCTATGAATATTATGACCAACAGCAGTCAGAAAATTATATTAAATTTGGCACAGGATGGGAAAATACCATGTAATCTGAAACTCCTACAATCAACCTTTATTACTTAATCCTGATGGTAAACATAACTTCTTTAAATTTAATACATTACACTTCTAGGTTAAACATAACCCAGAAAGCAGTGGCATCTGTTAGACATCTAACGAACTGGCTGACATCTCCCCCCTTCTTCTTTAGATTGAGCTCAGAGCCCACGGACAGAAGCGGTGTGAACTTTTACCCCAACGAATCAGTGGGAGCCTTAGAATTGCAAGATCCTGCACTCAAGTATGTTGCCCTTTTAAAAACTGAGTGTTTTCTCTTTTTTACGCTGAAATAAGTGTGCTTTGAATCCCACTTTCTCTTTTTCCTCCTCACTCCCGCAGCGGTGAGCTGCAGCTGGAGGCCTCTCCGGGCTGTGAGGTAAGGCTGCCCCAGACAGTTCTCTGTGGGCGATTTTAAAGGGGGGAGGGGGTGTTAGCGGGCTCTGCTGGCCAAAGGAAGTCAGGAGGGGGAGGAGGAGGAGGAGGAGGAAGAGAAAAAGCCATGGATCAGCCAGTGCTAAGGATTGTGCAGATGTGTCGAAGTTGGGGGTCTTCTTTCAATGGCACTGCTTCACAATAGGCATAGGAAAGCATACGTTAAGTTTATACTAATTTGGTGTAGTACAGATGAAGATGTTAATATTAACCATCACCATAAAGGTGCATTTCATGGGGTCTCTGATTACCACGTAAAGAAGGTTGATCTGGGTAAAGTAACCATCCGTTGTCTAAGCAAACTGATGTCAAGTGGACAGCATCAGGTTTTCCCAGGCAGCCTGGGTTCCAGGTACATGTACTTGACACTGAAGGCTCCCGATGGGATTCTGTGTGTTCGGGATTCCTGCCTGGAACTGTTACTGAAAACCTGTTGTTGAATGGGGGGTGGAGCCTTTGGGGGCGACCTTCACAGGTGGTTCGGGCTGACCCCTGCTCTGAGAAAGCCCTTCGCTTAGTTTATGCGATACTTTAGATGTACTTTTCTGTGACCACAGCTGCATGTCTTTAGAAAATGTAAGCATAACCTCCTTGGCTACTTAACACACTAAATCACTAATTCAGTGTGTGTTCAGCGTGTGCCTGTGGACCAGGGGTGTGAGGGAGGCAAGAAAGACGAGTTCCCACTTCACGAACTGTGTGGTCTAATGAATCATTCCATGCACTTTTTTCTCCTTGAAGGTGCAAGATGATCTGGCATCCCAGAGTAATGGGAGCGACTACTCTCCAAACGAGGTATGTTTCTGGAAGGTTAACAAAAGCAAAGATACTCTGTGCCGCCCGCATTGGAATGTCTTTTACCGAAATCGATAGTCTAAGACCGCCCTGGGTTCTGAGTCGATGGTACTGCGGACTCTCTACAGGGAGGGACTGGTCATTAGTGATCGGAGCCTTGCCTGGCCCTCTCCATCCATGAGGATTAATCTTAGAAGATACATTTTGAAAGCCAAATACGGAAACATCTTCATAGGAAACGAGGGGGAAAGAATTCCACCCCACAGCACAGAGCATGCGTCATGACCGCTAAGTGGCCCGTATGTGGTTTCCCTGTAGATGAGAAGTCTGCTCCTTGTGACCCAGGGCCTCATCTCAATGGGCTGTGAGAGCTGCTTCAGCCTTCTGGGAGGTGGATGTGTGTGTGTGCACACACACACGCACACATCTGTTCTAGAGCAGCATTGCCAGTATCACTCGACCCTAAAATATACTGTTATGACGAGCAAATAAGAAGTAGAAGGGGTCTCCTTGCAAACAGCAGCCTGTTGATGATGCCACATAAAGCGTTTGCCCTCTGAAGGTGCACTGGTGATCACATGGTTTAGTTAGGACTTCATCACCCAGCAGCACAGGCCAGAGACAGTGGTTTTGTTAAAATCCTTGAGGGGAGAGAAGCATGTATAGTTCTGCTTCCATTTTGTTCTTTTTGTAACAAAATGTCCTTCCCTTTTAACATCACAGATGAGAGATACCTTTGCCCCAGTCTCTCCCGCCGCCCACAGTGAAGCCCCATTTGGCCTGAAGCCAAGATCAGGTGAGTTGAATCCTCCGTGATCTTAAGCTTGGAAAGGGCTCTGGGGCAGGGTTTCTCCTTAGCCTTGTACGTGGTCACAGCCTCATCCACGCTGCCTGTGAGTTTGCCGGCTGGTGGCAGAGCCGGCAGCAGGCTGCAGTGTGGGTAGGCCAGGCTATGGAGCCTTGTTTTCAGTGATTTAATTGATATATTTGCTAAAAAGGACTTGGGTACTTTTAAGCAAAATCTAGTGAAGAACTCAGATATTCTTGGGGTATTCAGTAAAGCTTTTTGGTAACAATAGAAGTTAGATGTGTATATTTTGGAAAGGGATACCCATAGGAAAAAAACCACAAAGATAATTCTTTCCTGAAGGAATTTGTTTTTCCAGCAGGTTGACTGATGGGTGGGTACCTACAGCCAGGTGCCATGGCTTCCCTGCTGACAGACAAAGCTAGTGGAGAAAGCGCTTGGGGGTGGCAAGGGCTGTTAGGAGGTGTTTACAGGGAGGTGTTTGCTTTATTGTGAAATAAGTTCAAACGGCTGGCGTGCTTGTTTTTGGAACTGAGCAACCAGATCTGGGGCGTGCGCAGGGAGGGATGGAGGTCACAAGGGCCTCTGTCCTTGGTGCGTTCAGGGAGAGCCCATCCAGAGTCACCGCTGCACACCGAGGACCTCACAGGAGGTGGCGGACTCTCCTCCAGTCCTCACACGCAGTTTTACACAACTGTAAAATAAGTCGTTTCTGATAGATCAGCTCAAAAGTGGAATCGCTCTTTAAAAAATAATACCCTTTTGCATGTGCTTCTTTGCAATTTAGTTGTAAGATCATCTCAGTGACTTTTTGTTCCTCATGTGGAGTCAGCCCTCAGCCTGTCGACATGGTGCTTGTCCTGTAGAAGCAAACGATTTCGGATCCTTTGTAGTGGTGAAAAATAAATGGGGTATTTATTTCAAAGAGCAGAAAATAAAGACAGCTTCCTCTCCAAGCATCCAACGCTTTCCTAACGCTGACTCACTCAGGTGGAGGTTGGTCTAGTTGTTGAAAGCTCTGTAGAGGTGGGCTGCTGTACGTGATGCTGACTTACCTCCAGAACATCAGGTACTTTTTGGAACTTTATAAAACTAGCATTACATACTGGCAATTCAAGAAATATTATTTAATAATTTAAAAGTACTTGTACTACAGTAGGCATTTTTCACATTTTATAGAAAATCATGTATACAGTAATCTTAATTGGAGATGATATGATTTAAAAAGGTAGAAATCCACTTTGATGGAGTAGCTTTGGAACTTTTCAAAACCAATGAATTTTTCTTCCGAAGTTCAGTACATGGATTCGTGTGACTTCAGTGTTATAAATAAAAACAGACTGTTCAAATCAGCAAGTTAGAATAAGAATTTGGATTCTTAAAGTAAGCTTAGAGTTAACTTGAAAGAAAACATGGTTTTCATTCCTGTGTTTTCCTCCAGAGAAAGACAACCAACCGCCCACACCCAACAACTGGTTCCTAGAACCAGATCCATTTATTTTCTGCCCCTGCCTTATAATTGAGTGATATTTCCCATTTATGGTTCATATACATATTTCCTAAACATGTAAGCACCATGTGGAAATATAGTGCAAAAACCGATGCTACCATTACATAATCAACTCAGAAGTGTCTGAAGTCGACACGCATTTATCGGTCGGTTAGGTTTGTTGTTAAAGAGAGTCTCCTACTGCCCAAAGTCACTTTTATACTAACAGATTTTTTTTTTAAGATTTTATTTATTTATTTTTAGAGAGGGGGAAGGGAGGAAAAGAAACATCAATGTGTGGTTGCCTCTCATGCGCCCCCTACTGGGGACCTGGCCTGCAACCCAGGCATGTGCTCTGACTGGGAATCCACTCAAGCACCCCTTTGGTGTGCAGGCCCAGCTGAGCTTCACCTGCCAGGGCTATACTGACTGATACTGAAGCCAGCACTGAGAGGCGTGTACGTCAGGTGCTGGGGAAAGAGTTGGCTACATTCACCTGTCGATAATGCCTGCCAGTAGGTTTAGAGTCTTCAGAGAGAAATTTTACATGGCCTTGGGAAAAATACAACAGTAAACACCAGCTCTGTAGTAGTTTTATTGTTAAATAGTGGACGTAGCTATACAGATTAAGCTTGGACTCTATAACCACATGGTTTGTGTGAATTGTATTTGCTAAGATGGTTATTTAGAAGGTCTTTGAAAAAGCTATCTGGTAGGTCTTTGGCTTTTTATCTGTAATCTATGGGTATTCCTTTCTGCTACCGTGATGCACTGTGGGTTTGGGGCACTGCTAAGATTAACGATATTAACTGCATGCAAAGTATATGACCGATAAGTACTAACCCTCAGTTTCTATCATTCTCTTTATTCCACGCGCCATCTTTCATTCCTATTGTTGTTCATTTGAAATTAAACCCCACCCTGTGAAACCCGCCTCATTTCCATACAACCCCGGTGCCATCTGGGAAATGCCGCCGCCCTTTGGTTTGTCGGGGTCCTTGGGCCGCGCACGCGCAACCGGCTCTCCTGCCCTCCCGCCGGCCTAGGCCTCACTCTCCCTATCTCCTTCAACAAACTCACGCAGGCACAGACATGGGACCGCTCTAGCTACAGCGTTCCATCTGCAGGGGACAGTGACAATGGTAGGTGGCTTTGTACCTTTTCTTCAACGTGCTTATGAATAAGCCGGTGAATGTACTGGAGGGTTCATTTCCGCGCGGCTTAAGATAGAGCCGTGTCTCTGCGCATGCCCGGGAGAGACAATGAGCAGATTGGGGAGGGGGTGTCCCGAAAAGCGCATGCGTTCTCCACAAGCAGATGTCAGGCTGCCTTTAATTATCTTTAGTATTCTGAACTTGGAGAGACCTTGACAGTCATGTCCTATCTACCTCTCTGGTTTCTCGGCTTGGGTTTTTTTTGGGCTTATTTGCTTGTTCACAAAAATCTGGGGTTTACGCATTTGGCTTATTCCTGCTTGCTCCTGCATCAGAACTACATGCTTTGGGAGTTTGGTCTTACATATGTTTACCACGCGGGAGATGTTTCAGGTAATTCAGATGTGCGTGCCGTGGCTGACCCGAGGGTGGCATGCTGAAAATAATGTTAACACTGAGAAATTTCTAAAAATGAAATCACTTGCCTTCTCCTTTTTCCGTGTGGGTTTGCGAACTATTTACGGATTCTGCCTTTCGATGCCTTCTACCTTTTTGAGTGTAAGTTCATCTGTATAATAGCCAAAAATAGTAACTTGGCCTGAGAATCAAATGAAGTGGACAAATGAAAATTGAGGACACCTAGTGGGGATTAATGTTGGTACCTTTTCATATCATTAAATATTTTAAATAGCTCAAGAGATGAAAATAAAATAAACATGATTATTTAGAGTCACACACCACATGTAGTTGAGACTCTGTTGCGGTGTAAGTTAGCAGTGTACAGGGAAGAGAAGTGAGATGTGAGGAATCACTGCAATGCCAGCAGAAGATAAATTCCCCCATAGTTGGAAGATCTGTTCCCCCATAATACCTTTTCTAAATTTAAGTGTGTTATATATAATACATAGAAAATATATATTTAAAACATTTGCTGTGGTTTCTGGTCAAAATTCAACCACAACTGCGTTTCCAGTTTTCTTTTGTGGAAGGCTGTGTATATATCCTGGCAGGTCAGTTGTAACAGATTTTATTATTTTATATTTTTCTAAATTTTTAACTGAAAATGAGTAAACAACAGTAATAACATGAAAGTCCCTGCACATATGATTCTGTTTTAAATTCTGGAAGTGAGGGACAGTTCAGTGAAGACTTTCTTGATAAACTGTTTCTTTACTTGAAAGTAAAAAAGGAGGAAGGAGGGACATTTTTGTTTTTCAGAAAACATGGTTATTTGTGAGTCTGATGTTGTTTAAAAGAACTGAAGTCTAGAATGAAAGATCTACGTGTGATTTGGTATTTCCTTAGGAGTGATGTGTGAAACTGAAGGACTTTTTTGGTAGTTTTTGCTTTTTTTAAGCTGGAGAAGGTCTAGACGACGTCTTCTCTGTGACGGCAGACCACCCTTGTATCATCTCTCCTTGTGCTGAGCCACTAAACCCTGAGAGGCGAGGTGGCCTGTCCAGCCACGTTGCTGGGCAGAGGTGGAGGTGAGCCCGCCCAGGGCTCCGCACTGCCCACCACATCCGCCTTCCTCGTCCAGCTGCTCACTGAGGACTCTGCCTGTTAGGAAGGCAGGCTGCCTCTTCTGTTCATTAACAATCCTAAGAACTCATAGAAACAATGATTGTGGAACTCTTTCTGAAAATACGTAACCCTGCTTACTCGGCGTGAATGAGAATTTCAGGAACTCACATGTGGCTATGATGCTGTACACCAGTAATTACAAAGGGCCTGCTTCCCACATTTACGTGGCTTGGTCAGCCATGTCACATGTCTGATGGCTGCCACCAATTCCTGCGCACAGTGTGTCTGCAGTATGCCCCAGGCAGCAGGGAATTTTCTGTGCCAAAATCTTCACAAAGTACTTGTCCAGGTTCCCAGACCTGCCTTTCAGCGTCTCTGTTCTCTCTGTGACAGACTTTGCCTTCCAATATGAATGTATTGTCCATGACGTTTTTAGAATCAGGGAAGCTGCCTTCATCATGTGGGTCCACCCGTGATGTTGCAATAAGAAAACAGCCTCCTTTTCACGTTGTTCTCACGGGTTCCTGGTCAGTGGGAGATCCTGTTCAGTGGCCTCTCTGGGCATTTCAAAGCCGAGTATCGCATCGGTTTTGTTTCCTCATTTTTTCTGCATGACCTACTATTGGCGGTTCTCTCAGCCTTTCTTTGCAAATACAGCAACGGCATCCTGTTTCCAACTCAACCCATATTTTGTTTGGTTATTATTTTGGGTAGAATTAGCAACTGCCTTGCTTTGCGTTAAAATTCCCCTTTTATTTAAATTTCAAGATTTAAGTAACATTTGGACTCTATTTAAAGCAATAGCTATCGCTTTCCAACATTTCACTCCAAAAATATCTCATTTGAAATCCCCCCTTCTCCCTAAAGCAAATTGTCCAAAAAGAAAGAAAGAAAGAAAGAAAGAAAGAAAGAAAGAAAGAAAGAAAGAAAGAGAAAAATTAAAATGACAAACAGGCTAGAAGGTCCCTGGGAGCTTGAATTCCCTCTGTCTCCAAAGTTCTGCCTCCCGAGATAGATAGACACCAGGGGTGTGGAAGTCATGTCCGTCCGTAGGTCTGTCCACCTCGGAGACCCGGACGCTTCCCTTCCTGCTGTTGTAACTTGAATACTTCACTTCCATTCTTTCCTGCGTCCTCTTGGTCTTCCTTTCTCTCGTCCCTTGACTTGGAAGTTTAAACCCATCCCATCTTCCTTGAAATCATTTGCCCTTTTTCATTTGCAGTGAATGAGTTGGTGGGCGCTGGTTTGTACGGATTTTAACTAGATCTTTAATGATCGCTAGAGAATGAGTGAACACACATATCCATCTTGGGCCAAGGTACAGATGTCCTCTTTGACTTTGACCACAATCTTGCACTTACTCCCCAAATGAGGAAACTGGGCCTGTGCGAGGCGTTTTGGGGGTTCTTAGCCTTAGGTGCATATCAGAGTCACCTGGGCATTTTAAAGCTGCGGCTGCCGGTGCCCCACACTCAGAGTGCTGGCTCACTCAGCCTCACAGGGAGTCTGCATGCTGATTATTTTGTCACTGATCTTTATGTGATGTCCATGTCAGAGAACGATACTGGGCTGAGGAAATCACCCAAAACCGTGGAGAGTAAACGTGAGCATTTTGAGGTCAGAGGCTCTACCTCATTCATTCTGAGGCACCGGAAGGGAATGAATGAATGCACTAGTTAGATTTCTAACTAACATTAGCTTGGATCTACAGCTTAGGATATTTTTTTCAAAGCCACTATATTTCTGCCCTTGAATTTATCTTAAACATCATACCCGGCGCAGGTTCTTAACTTCCAAGAAAAGACTGAGAGCTGAGTTTCTAAACCTCATGTGTCCACAAAGAAGAAATCTCTCGAGTTAAATTTAAGTAATAAAGGTTAATGATACAGACCAATGATACAGACCAATAATTGCTATATGAAGGGTACATTTTGTGTAATAATGATTATTCCAGGCAATTTTTACAGTAGTGTACTTTTTTGGGCTTAACTAAAAGACAGGCTTACAACCATTAGAGAAATGGTTTCTTGTTCACATTCTTACATATCTATTGAGTGTTACTGCATGTTAGGCATGATGCTTGTTACCATGGATACAACTCTGGAAAACACAGAGAGATCTCTGCTTTTATGGATCATGCATTTCAGAGTCGAATTTGTTCAGACCTAGAAACTTAAGTTTTAGGAGGTTTTCCGCAAGAGGAAACATTCAGATGACATCATCAGAGTAGGATAATCTCGGCAGAGAGGGAGTTTTTGAAACACTTGTTGCATTTATCCAGCCAACAACCTGCTTTGTGGGGCGAGGTAGAGGTGCAAATTGGGAGCAGACACAGGCTCTCACCGGAGTGAGTCCTAATGGAGAGAAACAGACCCAGGCAGTGAGAGAGCGTGAGTCCCAGGAGGGGGAGACAGGTTCGGTGCGTTTCTAGGAGGCCGCCCACTCCCGGGTCTGGGACGAGGTCGGGAGGAGGCAGGGGCAGCGGAAAAACCACGGAGATCTGTCCTGTGCCTGCCAGGATGAGGCAGTACCCTGCCTGAGCACAGTCACACTCCCTGCAGGGCTTCGCTTGGAAATGTGTTGCTTTTGCGGAACAAATGACCTGTAAGAGCAGAGTATCTTCTCATTCTTTGGATGTTACTTGACAGCTGGTCTTTGAACAGTTCAGCAGAACTCATCTTTTTTCTGCATCTTAAATCACCTACCCACCTCCTTGTCCCATCCTACCCCTTAGATGTGTATGTGTACACACACACTCGTATACACACTCACTCTGTCTGTTCTCTTGCCCCTCTTTTCTCCTCTTGTTTACACTCAAACCGCTAGGGTGGCTTTTGATTTGAAAAACAGATACCGATGGTGTGGCCCTTCATATGCTCTTGTAGCCTCCAGTTGAAACTTTACTCCCCTGAATTCAGTAAGGGAACTTTTTAATGAAACTTAGTGGTAGGAGATTAAGGAAAACCAGAGTAATTCTCCCGCAGAGCACTTTCCTGAATCTTTGTCTCATGTCCATCACTGCATTGAGTACTTAACTGCGACTGAGAGGGAGAAGCTGCAGGTAAATAACCGGAGCTGCCCTGGTGGCCCCAATTCAGATGGTCCGTAACAAAACTCAGCAGAATAAGCATGTGCTCTGCAGGTTTAGCCTGAAGACTTGTCACTTCCACAGTAATCAGTCCATTGCAAAGACTGGTAGCTGTATAGCCTTGGCTTCCAATGATTTTCATGTACAGTTGAAATGTTCATTTAAAAACCCACAGTTCAAGTGTGTTTTAACACTTTGTAATTAATTAACATGATTAAAGCAAGTACCCAGGCATGCATTTTGTCTTTTTTTAAGGCGCAGCAATTTATGATGAGAAGCGACACCAGGAAATTAAAATCCAGAGGCTCCGTTTCACACCGGGCTCTAACGAGGCGTAGGTCCTTGAATTGTGTGTGTTCAAACAAAAGCTCCTGGTTAATGTAACTTCCTGATCGTTTTGTGTTCAGAATGAAGTCTGCCAATAAAAACATATTGAAAATATTAAACATGCAATATTAGATAAGATTGCCCCCAGAAAAAAAGGCAAAGGAAAATAAATCCTCCAAAGAAAACATTAATTTGTTTAAATAGCATTGGAGCGCCCCTTGCTGGCTAGTTTTTGTATTACTGAGTTCTGTCTATATTTCTTGACTTTTTAGGTAAATTGGGTTGACTTCTTTTCTTTGTAGGGTGTATTTCTAGATCTTACATTTGAATATACATTATTCCTTCTGGTCGATGTGCCTAAATGGGCGTTTTTTTGTTGGGTTCCATATGGTGTCCAGGCAACTTTAGTACACATACAGTTTCTTGTAGATTTCCCATTTCATCAGATTTTCCTTCATTTCCCTTTGCTCTGTGAGCTTCTCACATCTCCCTGCAGGGTCACTCTGCCCTTCTTCCTTTGTAGGTCTTGTCTTTGCTTTCCAAACAACTGGTTTCATGTTCTGCGGGGTTTGGTTTCCGTAGGCCTTGGTTGACAGCCCTTTGGTGACACCATGTGGATCTTTTTCCCTGTGACTTTCCTGGGTGGCTGGAAGCAGAGGCCCAGCCCCAGGCTGACTGCTCTCCAAGGCAGAAGGAACCACGCACTTTAGATCACTCCCCTCCTCCACTGACTCTAAATCCAGGGTGTCTAAAGCTGTGTTCAGTCTTCCGTGGAGCGTGGGATGCTGATTCAGATGGCCTGGAGCTGATATCTAAAGAAAGTAGCAGCACGAGACATTTAGTGCAGGGCGTTTACCACAGCAGTTTGGTGCAGAGGTGCAGACTGAGGTTAAAATGGCACATCTGCTGGTGAGCGCGGACAATTGATTTTACGGAGCGGTCACAAGGTTTTTTTTAATTTGAAGTATGTTTGTAAGCCATATTTAACCTAAAAATACTAATCAGTCGAAATAGCTCTTAGAATGGCCCATAGGAAATGTTTGTTAAAGTAGAAGAAAGGTCCATACCCTTCTCATTCTACATTATTTCCATCGCGGTGGATGCGATTTCTAGGATCGCATCATGCCAATCCGTGCAGCCTTTTGCCTCATCTGGATGTTTAAAATTGGAGTTCTCTGCCCAAAATTTTCGGAAGGGCTTGCCTCCCTCCCTCCCTACACACACACACACACACACACACACACACATACATACACACACACACAAACCACAGGAGGCTCTTACCAGCACTTTGCCCCCTTCCGTGTGGGAGGAAAGCTTTCGGTCTTAACAGGATAAAAAGACTCAAGGGAGGAAGAAATTCAAGTTTAAATCTGCCTGTGGGCTTTGTGTCATGATAAAAACTGATCAGAAACAGTTGTTATAGTCACTCTGCTCTGTGTAGATTTTTTTTTAACTCTCTTTACTGGTCTTTAAAAGACGTCCTTCTGAGGTTCAGAGCTCCCCTCCTTCCTGCAGACAGAGGCGTAAGTCCTTTTGGAGGGAGTGAGACGGTTAGCTGCTATTCTTGGAGGTTGTAATTTTAAGGACCTGAAGCCAGGGACCATCTCTTAAATGCCTCTCATCTTGCCAAGTTCTCTAAAAGGGGTCTCTGGTCCTCTCTGAAGCGCTGACGTTCTGGCTATGCTGCCAGCGACGTGGCAGAAGGCAGAATTTTCCCACTCCACACGCAACCTTGTAACCCCGTGGATCCACACTTAGTTCTTAGCCCACGCTTCCGAAAACTTTCAGCCAACAGACATTATTAACCTGTGCTTGCGTTAGATAGGCAGAGCGTTCCAGAGAGATCTTGTGTGGAACAGATACTCTGAGTTTAATGAATAGACTGTGAAACCTCGGGCGTAAACGAGAACCCAGAATGAATATATTGCAAAAAGGAGAGAGGAGGGACCTCTTTCCAAGAGGTGGCCTGGGATGATTGCAAGGATGACCCGAACTCATCCTGGGGTCAGTTTATTGTCGCCAAAAAGACAGCTTGTGTTAGTCCGCCCAACCCGGTATAATTACAACATGCAGGCTTCTTTAGAATATTTGAGTGGCGTTTTCATGCCAGGTCGTGCTTCCCTTCATTTCTGTGAGCCCCTCAGTGGGTGATCTGGGATGAAGGAAGAGACCCTTGGCTTCATTTGAATCTGAATAGTGTTATGGAGCCTAAACTGGGCACTCCATGAAGGCCCCTCCCCTTTCTGTTACAGTGTTTCTGAGACCTCAGAGAAATTTGGAGTCTGTAGACCCACAGTTTACAATCCGGAGGAAGATGGAGCAAATGAGAGAAGAAAAGGAACTGGTGGAGCAACTCCGTGAGGTACCCAAGAAATGTTCTGTCCCAGGACCGAAGCAGCATCCTGTGGGGTCGGCTCCTGAGCAGCACCAGGCGTAGGGGACCGTCCGCCCTCCCTGAACTCTTTGCTTGCCCACAGGCCCACGGCTGTCGAAAATCCGGGTGTAGCTTTTGACGCTCCAAAAACGTAGCTACTTGCAGCCTGTTGTCCAGAAAGAAGCGTTGTCACTAACACCAACAGTTGATTAACACACATTTAGTCTGTAAGGTGTATCATGTGCTGTGTTCTCACTACAAAGTGAACTAAAGAAAATACATTTACAGAACTGTATGTATTTACCAGGAAAAAACCCACTTACAAGTGGGTCTATGCTATTCAAAGCTGTGTTGTCCAAGGGTCACCTCTATTTTTCAAAACTAGGCTTTGAAGCCTGGCAAACACACCTGGTTTCAAATCCAGCCAGGTCACCTTCTGGCTGTTTGATATCGGACAGGTCACTTCACATTCCTGAGGGTCAGTTTGTTCAAGTGTTAAAAAAAAAACCAAACAGTTCCAATGTCCCTTAGTGTGGTTTTTCGAGTAATACATGAGATAATGTAAGTAGAACTACTTAATGCATATATATATATATACACACACACACACACACACACACACACACACATACACGTATGGCTAGCATTGTTTTAATTCAGGCACACTTACAATAATGCACCATTATTCATTTACTTAATAATAGTATTCCATTAATTTAAAGATGTTTATACTTATGCCAGACTGGCAGGAACTTTTTAATCAGTCATTTACCAAATTATCTGAGTTCCCACCAAGAATGAAGTCTTGTGCTGGGTGACATTGAGGATTTTAAGCTCTGTCACGACAGGGATTGTGGCGAATGTTGGACCACTTTTTTGCATAAAAACGCAGGGAGGGGAAAGAAGTTTGTCCTCACTTTTAAATCGGCCTCTTGCTGCCTTGGGTTGGGCAGTGAATTTTGCCCTGTGATCCAGTGCAAAACTTCCAGTATCTTTTACAGATGGGATACTGACCCCTCTCATGATGTTGAAGCCCTGTACCAAACTCTCCTTTCACCATTCCTCCCAAGTTACATAAGAAAACCTCTGACCTTTTGGCCTCCAATTTGAATGCACAATTAACGTATAAGGTGTAAGAGGACATTGTGAGTCATGTACCTGTTCACATTTGTGGATTTTGTTAATTCTTTGGGGCAAATGCTACATTCTTTAAGAAACCCTTTGGTTGTCACCTTTTTCCTTTTTTAAAATACATTTCTAATTGAACATAAACCAGGAAATAATCCTGATCAGAGGAAAAGAGAAAATAGAGGAAGGCGGTAGGAACATAAGTCATTTTTTATCCCGCTGCTCAGAGCCCGCCACTGCCAACATTTTGGCTTCTGCCAGCCTTCCTGCCCCATTTCAGCTGCTTTCGAATCGCCAGCCTCTGGTAGGCAGTCTCGTGCGGCTGCGCAGTGGGGACGCGTTCTGGGATTCCAGTCGCCAGGTGGTGCCATTGTTGTGTGTACACGTCACGGAGCGCACGGCATGTAGCACACGGCACGTAGCGCGCTCACACAAGCCCAGCCGGTACTGCCTGCTGACCCCGGGCAGAACGGTGTGCGGGCCTGTTGCCCAAAGCAGCATCCTTCTGACCCTCCCACAGAGCATCGAGATGAGACTCAAGGTCAGCCTGCACGAGGACCTGGGGGCCGCGCTCCTGGACGGCGTCGTCCTCTGCCACCTGGTCAATCACATCCGCCCGCGATCTGTCGCCAGCATCCACGTGCCCTCACCAGCAGTGGTAAGTGACACCACGTAAACTAATGTTCCCGTGAAAGCAACTCTTTGGGGATGGGGCGGCTGGCTGAAGTGGCCAGTGGGACCCCAAGATCCCCCCTGCTGGGTCCCCAACCACTAGGAGAGCAGAAAGGAAAGGGCCCGAGGGAAGCAATGTTTTCACTGTGAAAAGGGAGACTGTTTAAATATGTAAATGACATAAAGGAATTTATTTCAAACACAAGGCAGACCCCACTAAGAGATCCCTGGTTGGGGCGCCGACTGTAAGACTTCAGCGACATGAAGATCCATTTGTCACAAAGGGTTACTCACACAGTGAGCAGGCTGTGGGAAAGGTTTCTTTTTTTTGGTTGGTGGTTTCTCTTCCGAACTGGATCTCTTTCCTTTGTTAATTATTTGGGATTTCATTGGAAAGCTCTGAAAACACGGGTTCCGTGTAAAAAATCATTAGTAACCTGTCAAGCCAGAGGTTGATTAGCCAACAATTCCTGGATCATTTATGGCGCTCAGAGGTGCGTTGGAGGTCCAGGGGGGCCACGGGGAATGTGAAGGTGAGTGGGACCCCTTAATGCCCTAAACATCCTGTCCCCTCTGTAGGGGACATTGAGCTGGCCTGTGGCTCCTCCCCCTCTATGTCTCTGAGCTTGTCACCATCTGGAAGAGGGCTGCTAAGTGGCATGTATGGTCAGGCAGCTGCGGGCGGGGGAGTCAGGGATGAACTTGTCTTTGACGCCCATGCAGGGTTCAGACAAACAAAGACAAGAATTTCTAGTCTAGTGTGTGTCTTCGGGAGTTATTTCACCACTCTCACCCTGATTTGCTTTCCCTAGTGTGGTTCTGTTCTTGTGAGGGTGAGATAAGGTAACACGGAGGATGGGCACAGGAACTCCAGCTGTTCTTATCCACAGGGCTTGCTGAGCAGATTTTCACGTTCAGAGCTGGGTCTCAAAGCACCACATTCCTGACAGGAAGGGATGGGAAATGCGTTTGGCCCGCCCTGGGCCTGTCTGCCCCTCCCCCGCCTCCAGGGCACCCTCACCTGGCCTGTTTGTCCTAATTTCTTTCCTTCCCTCTGATCTGATGATCCCATTTCAACGGCCAGTTTCCCTTTTACGCTATAAAACACATTTTTCCTTTGGAGAGTTTGGCTGCTTTTGCTTCAGGAAACATAAAGGGAGAAAGATCGGCTTGTCTTCTCTTTCGAGTCCACCCCAGCTGCCTTCCACTGGTCAGCAGGGCATTTCATCCTCTGCTGTGGGGTTTTTTCCTGGTAACTGCCCCCCCCCCCATCACCCTGTGCAGCTTCCTGGTGTGTTTCAAGGATGAGACCCAGACTACTGTAAGGTGGTCTGAGTTGTGTGCTGAGATCCCACGCTAGAATTTCCCCCAAATTGTATGGAAGGAACTATGAGTCCTCCGCTTCCAATTTAAACACACCATTGTTTTATAAGGGGTAAGAGGATGCCATGAATCATGTATCCATATACATTTGTATATTTTATTAATTCTTCAGGAAAAATGCTACATTTTCTTCGAAGTCCTTTGGTTTTCACCTTTTTTCTTTAAGTAAATTTTTCTATGAAAATATAATGAGAAATATTGCCTTACTGGGCAAAAAAAAAAAAAATCCCAGAAAATAGAGAAATCAGAAGAAAAAAAATCATTCCTTATCCCACTTCCCCAAGACAATCACTGTTAGCATTTCAGCTACTATGCCATTACCATTCTGCCTGTATTTAAGTTGGTTTTCAATCGAGAACATCTCATATGTATTAATTAGTAGTTTGTGAAATGTGTTATTAAAACCTAAGTATTTTCCCATGTCACTGAAATTCTTCCAAAATATTCATGTTTAGTGTAACAATGTAATAACGCATTTTACATGTAGCGTATTTTAGAAATGCAGGCTGTCACTAAATGTGCACTTGCTGGAAATTCTTCGGCCAGCACCTTGATGCCTCTTTGACCAGCCCAGGCCCTGGTGGCCTGGTGGCTGCTGCCTCTGCTCCCTGGTCTCCTTGGCACTTACATTATTCTTCCTCCTTGTAACAACCTCCTCCTCCCACTGCCTGGAGGGAGGAGGTTGAACTTGTTAACATCTCAAACTAGACCAGAACTGAGCAACCATGAGCTCGGTGTCTCTCGGTGTCACAGGTGTGTCTTAGCACCAGGTGAAAACCCTGAGGCATGGTGACCGCTTGGTCAGAGCGGACTTGGGGGGGGCGCCTTTGTACCCGGGTGACCGCCAGCATTAAGCTTGCTCACTTCTCATTCACAAGACCGGTGCTGTCCATCTTCCGTGCCAGGCTGGGGGACGCAGTGCCCAGTAGAGTCGCTGTCACTGTCAGTGTGCCAGAGGTGCCTTAAAGCGGGTTTCCTCAGTCGTGGACAGTTTGGTGACTAACCACGGGCCTCCCGGTTGGTGTGACGTGTGTAACTGCCCGTTCTTTGAACTTCTGTGTTTGCAGCAAGTGCTCTTCTAACGGAAAGTAGGCAGCGGCCTTAGTGGGGCCCTTCCTCACTTTCCGAAGGAGGGAGATGGTCTTCATGGAGCTTGAAACACACTCTCGTTGACTTTGCTGGGCTGACCTCAGTATTTGGAATGGGGTTGAGCATCTTTGGGGTTTTACGGAGAAGACACAAACATCATATGTATTCAACGTCCGGAAGAATACAACCCAGAATAATAGTAACTCTTATCTCTAGGTGGACATTTCTGGATAAAGAAGTTTCTTTGTGCTTCTATATTTTTCTTCAGTAAACGTGTATTGTCCATTTAGAGAGTTTAAACTTTAATGTGTTACTAAAATTATTTTTTTAGTAATTATTTCTGCATTATTTGCATTACAGCCAAAGCTTAGCATGGCCAAATGCAGAAGAAATGTGGAGAACTTTTTGGAAGCATGCCGAAAATTGGGAGTGCCAGAGGTAACGCCAAACTTCTTCAAAAATAACCATGTTTCAGTAAAGATTTTATTTAATATGCGTTTGAACCCACTGAACAGATAATACAACTTTGTACATCCTTTTTCACCTCAGTCTTCCTAAAGGAGTAATATTAAATAAGTCATAAAATTTTAGCTTAAATGGCTCTATTGCAATGAAATAAAAAAAAGTCTTAAAGCAGTATGGTCAGGAAAAAGGGGAATATATATAATTTCTTTAAGACTTTGGAGTGAGTGTATAATTCCAGACTTGAAAAAACAGAACATTTACTGAGCTCCATTATCTCCTCCAAGAGCTAAAGTTGCCACAGCCTCAGCGAGCCTGCCGATCAGGCCCCGAGGGTAGTTTTAGAGCTGATGGTTTTCCTCATTAAAGCTCTTAAGCGGAGCACAGCTGCAGTTGACTCCTAATTTGTTGGTTTTCATTTCCTATACTTGCATTTTGGGTACGAGGATCAAACTGATCAGCATTAAAAACATGAATTTTATTATTATTAATCATTACCGTTAATAATAATAATGTGTGTGTGTGTTGCTTTATGGTTTGTTAACTGTTTGCGTTTACATTTCCCCCTTCAGGCTGCTGTGGCCTGGTTGGGCGGGTCCCCACAAGCCCCGCCCAAGTCTAGTTTGCCCCTCCTCTTTCTGGCAAGTGAAGCCCCAGCCTTTGCTACTAGTGACATAAGGCAGTTTCTTAGGGAGGCATGAACCAGTGCCCTCAGATGTGGGGGTGCTTTGAGAAGTTTTTAATCCCTGTGATAAACACAGGGATTTTGGACAAATGGACAAATTCTATTTCTTGAAATTTCTTCTATCTTTTCTAATGTTCTAGGACTCAGGTATCTGCAGACTCTCATGAGATACTGTTTTTGAGTATGGGAGGAAATTACATTGTACTCCATGATGGGAGTGAGTTACTGTAGTTGGGAAAGGCTTGTCTGCCTGTCTCCCTGCCTCTGGCCTTCCCTCCCCCCGCTTCTTCCCCACTTTCTTCCTTCCTTTCCTTCTTCCTTCCTTATCTCCCTAATTTTCAGTTTGGTGGTAGGTTCATGATGAGCTTCTTATCTATTTGAGGAAAATAATTATTAAAACATCGTTAATTCAGAGATGTTACAGCAATAAAAAGAAGCTTACAAATTATTTTTTTAAAGAGTATAATCATTGTATATGGACTAAATGTCTTTGTGGTCAATTCAGATGTCTTTCAACAATGTTAATCTGTGTATCTGTATGGTATGTGTACGTTTTAATATTGCTTTTACATTCTTGGCTTCAGATACTTGTGACATTCTTATACACATGGCGTTTAAAGTAATTTCATTCTGTCATGGGCTAATAAGATTTCCCGTGTATGAATGAAAACTGTCACGCCGAGTGAGGTGGTGAATTACTCACGTCTGTGCCAGAAAGCGCTCCTGAGTTACTACCGAGCCCCTTGTGGTCATCCAAACTGAAATGGAACTGCACGCCATCATTTATTGTGAGCAAAGACTGGTCATTTTGATTTCCTTCCAAGGTGGGCAGATGGAGATTACAAAAATGCAGAGAAACACTTATTACAATTTTCAAAGGGTGCCTCTTGCACTGGTAGGCATCCCATAATTCCTGAGAAGAATTACGAGGAGTGAAGGACTTTGTGCCAGTAACCCACTGAGGCTGTTTTCGAAATTGCTTTTAGGATTTGAGGTGATTTTTCAGTTTTCCTCGTGTACGTGTGTGTGCATGTGTGTTCATGTGCTTGTATATTAATCCTGATGCGTAGTCCAAGTGCATTTTACTGGTGACCAAAGTCACATTAGATTCATCGCTGGGAGAAAAAAGGTCTGGTGGTTAGTTTTAGTTAGCAGTGAAACTTCTTTAGCAAGACACGTTAAAAGAAGGAAGGAATATTCTAGTGGAAAACTAGGCATTGCGGATTGGGAGGCAGTGGGCGGGTCCTCCTGCTTTCCCCTCTCACAGAATGGAGGAGGGATGAGTTACTGGAACTGCAGAAACGTTTTCACTAGGAGTATGGTATGGGGTTGGGGGAGGGGGAAGGACACCTTCCCTCTTAGATAGATGCATTTCTTTCTCTAGTTAAGAGGGTTGGCGTTTTGAGTGCATACATGCGGCATGCTACAATCAGTCGTTTACGCTAAAAATGTAGGTATAGCGCCAGTCTAACTGAAGAAATTCTCTGCCTGCAGTCAGACATTTAAAAAGACTGATACCAGTGGAACGGAACTGAGATCCTAGAAATAAACCCACGTGTATATGGGCAAGTAATTTTCGACAAAGGAGTGGAGACCATACAATGGTACAAAAAGCCTCTTCAGTAAATGATGCTGGGAAAATTGGAAAGCTGCATGCAAAAGGATGCAGCTACACTACTGTTTGTCTCCACGTACAACAATTAAGGTGATCAAAGACGTAAGCATAAGACCTGAAACAATAAATTACATAGAAGAAAACATGGGTACTAAGCTTACGGACCTTGGTCTCAGAGAGGATTTTAGGGATTTGACCTCAAAAGCAAGGGAAGTAAAGGCAAAATGAATGGGACTCGATCAAACTGAAAAGCTTCTGCACAGCAAAGAAAAAGAAAAGAAAAGAAAGAGCCAACAAAACAAAAAAGTCAACCACCCGAAGGGAAGAAGATATTTGCAAACAACAGCTCCGACAAGGGGTTAATATAAGAAATACACGTAAACACCAAACAAACGACCCAATTAAAAAAACGGGCAGAGAACCTGAACAGACACTTCTCTGAGGAAGACAGACAGTTGGCCAACAGATACATGAAAATCAGGGAAATGCAAATCAACTACAATGAGATACCACCTCACACCTGTCCGAAGGGCTGTTAACAACTGGACAGTTGATAACAGGTGTTGGAGAGGTTGTGGGGTGAAGGGAACCCTCATTCCCTGCTGGTGGGAATGTAAACTGGTCCAGCCCACTGTGGAAGACAGTGTGGAGGCGCCTCAAAAAATTAAGAACAAAGTTACCGTATAACCCAGCAACCCCTCTTCTGGATAGCTACCCGAAACACTGGAAAACGTTTATTTGCAAAGCTTTATTCACGGGGGCCCAGACATGGAGGCCACCGAAGTGTCCTTTGTTAGAGGACTGGGTAGGGAAGATGTGGGGTATATATGCAATGGTGCACCACTCAGCCAGGAGGACAGATGGAGTGCTGCCAGCTGTGACAACACGGATGGAACTTGAGAATCTCTTGCTAAGCAAAATAAATCAGACAGAAAGAGTTAAGAACCATACGATTTCACTCAGAGGTGGGTTATAAAACTGAAAGCAAAAAATGAACAAACAAGAAAAACAAACTCACAGCTGCAGAGAACCGTGTGGCGGTGCCTGGAGGGAAGAGGGTGCGGGGCGGGGGTGAAGGGTAAGTGGGGTTCAATGTGTGGCGGTGGAAGAAGGACCTGAATTCGGGCACACAATGCACTGTGTAGATAAGGCACCAGAGCATCGTTCACTGGAAACCTGTGTGATTTTGTTAACCAGTGTCACCCATCACTTTAATTTAAAAAGAAAAAGACTTATCTAAAAGCAGAAGACCCGTAACATTACACTTTTCTTATTAGCATGAGACTTAAAATTTGGGTAACGAAATATTCGTTGCCTTCCCAGCAACAAGCAGTTAATTCTTCCTAATTTTCGGGCTTCTCCTGCTTTCCTGTCTATTTATAACTTATACATCACAGAGACCTTGAGTTCTGTCTTTTTTAACTAAATATCTAATGGACAACAACACGTCATCCTGTAGAGACTGGGAGGTGACAGGTGTGCTCGGAGCCGAACATCGTTGCCCTTGGGAACAGCAGGACAGCCTGAGACCGCAAGCCCCGGTCCGGGTGGGCAGCGTGTGTTGACGTGGGTGGAACGTGGTTAGGGAGCAGATTCAGTGACATTATCACATACAAAGTAATGCAGCGGGCTGTTCTGTTGTGGTTGTGGCTTACTGCATTTTCTCTAGGGGTCCCACGGACGTGTCCCCAGGAGCCTCCCTCAGGGGTGGCCAGGCTCCCTAACACCCGTTGCTGTGAGCTGCAGCAGAGCAGCTCTGGCAGGGCTGACCGGTAAGCACAGCTGCCGTCCGAGTCGCACGGTGCAGGCGTCCGGTTGTTTGCAGGTTTGGGTGCGCAGAGAGGTAACGGAACTCCAGACCTCTGCTCTTCGTGACACTGGGATAAGTCTCACCAGGGATCCTTGGGTCTCAGGATACCCTTGAGTCTCAGCCCAGGGGCAGGGATCGTGGGGTTGGAGCAGTGGACGCTGCAGACGGAAGCTGGGAGATGGGTTCTGGGGAAGTTCTGTGAGAGTGGCCACAGGCCTGTTTCCGTCCACTGCGAAGGATCCGGAGTGAGGCAGAGGCTTGGTGAGGATGCCAGGGAAAGCTCGTTGAAAGTGGAGCAGAGACCTCACCCACAGGGTTTCTTTTTCAGTACAGGAGTCACGGTTTCTGCAGAGAGTAATTGCAGCCGGTCACTCCCCTTCCCGCTGCTTATTCCTTGGGTTTGGGGTTTTCGTATTGTTGGGGGCCAGTCCCTCCTGTAAAAGGACGCAGATGGGATGAGCCTAACTTGAAGAACGAGTGCAGAGTTCCCATCTGTGAGCAGGGGGAGGGGAGCGCAAGGTTGGGGGTTCAGTGGCCGTGCCTGTGCCATGCACTGGTGAACTTGGAGCACACTTGACTGTTGACTGGGAACTAGCTAACTCGGAGCAGTTAAGCGTTGACTGAGAACTAGCTCACTTGGAGCAGTTAAGCGTTGACTGAGAATTTGTAGGGCATCATCTCAAATACTGTTGAGGATTCTTTTTAAGTGTAAATTTCTTACCGCTTTTTTATTTTGCTTTTTGTCTTTTAAATTTACTGGGGTGACATCGGTTAATAAAATCATGCATACCACTGTTGGGGGTTTGAGTAAATATGTTATTACCATACTGTGAGGAAGCCCAGGCCGTTTCCTGAGCTGCACTCGGAACTGGAAGCAGCAGAGCTGGTGTTTGAACTGGTGTCTGTGCCCGTGCAGAGCCCGCCCTCTCCCGCACACACAGGCTCCTGCGTTGGAGCTCCCTGTCTGCACGGTGCAGGCATTGGACAGAAGCAGGGATTTAAACTGCATTCCCTGGCGGAGCCTTTGACTCTCTTTGCACGGCCTGCCCAGGAGGCGAGGCACAGCCCCGTGCCAGTCGGCAGATCACTCCCAGTCCCTGGCTACAGCCAGAGCTGTTCTCTTTTGCCTGCAGCATATGTTGCATTTCCATCCAGGTTTTCCTTTAGGGGAAGAAGCAGCATCGTCATGCTAAACATAGTTTGAGAATCACGGGCCCCAAGGTCTCTGAGCTCTCACACCCCTGGAAGCTCAGTCACAATCTGCAGCCCCATAACTGCTTCCCTCCACCACCACCGGCTACTTGGCTGCAGGAGAACAGCCACCAGGTCCCACGTCACGGCATCATCCTGCCGCCCCTTGTAGTGTTGTGCCAGGGGTCAGACTTCGCAATTGTCTGTGACCCCTGGCGCAAGCTTCAACCCGACCTTGAAGTTGCCTCTACCCTCAGTGGGCTTCCAATTTCTTCAGGAACTATTCTTTCTTTTGCCCAAGAATCTGACTCCAGTTGAGCCTGGGGGTCACGAGGCTTATTGACATACTGAGGCTTCCTTTGCCTTTTCTGAGTCAGCTTGGCCATTTCTGGCCCCTGACCTTGATAGAAGCCCCTGACTTCATGGTTGGCTATTGTGGGTTTCGAAATGGATCCAGATATAGGGCTATTGTAGTGTTGACTCTAGTGAAGAGAAATCTCTAATTTATAAAACATGAAAAGTATTAAAAAGTAGGTATTTATTTGGTTCACTAGGGAAATTCTTCTGTTCGATTTTAAAAAGCAGCTTTGGCCCCACACCTCTTTGAGGAGCAAGGTCTTTCCTTAATTTAACAGACTTGCCCTCTGTGCATGAGAAGGGAGCCGAGACTGGACATGCACTTTGTTGTTGGACACAGCACCTGGGCTGTGGCCGGTAAGACAGCCCGGCCATCCTCTGGTGACTGTGGTTTCTGCCCCCAGTAACGAGCGTTGGCGGCTGCACTGGCCTCCAGGGACTCGAGTATATTCACTGCGTTTCTCACTGCCTGGCAGTAATTACTGGTGCTTTGTAAATCCATGGCAGCCTTTTGCCTCTTTAAATTCCCTTCCTTTTTAGTATTTCCCTGTTTTGATTTTAAGGGAGAAAATAGTGTAACCTCTGTACCCCTCTCGTTAAGACTGAAATGGGGTCCGCAGACTCCCCGGTTCCCCAGCAGTTGTAGCTGATTCCCATCGTAGCTTCCTTGTGGAGGACGGAGGATGCCTGGTGGACACTGAGAGCGGCCCTCGGGGCAGAGTGCCCGTGCTCCCTGCAGGAGGACAGTCCCCAACCCGCACCTTTTCCTTTAGGGATCGCAATGTAATTCAGACAGATCGCCATGGACTGTGAGTCTGGGCCCAGCCTGAGTTAGTCTGAATGAAGCCCACATCATGGATATCACGAAATTGCTTCTGGGAGCTGAAGGATGGGGCGCCTTGCCCACCTGCTGAATGGGTGCACTTCACACTGCAGAGGCGGCCGACTCGGGCTCTCTGGTGCAGCTGCTGGGGTGCGGGCCAGACAGGTTCCATAGGGTGTGGGGGGATTATAGAAATGCACACTGGACGTAGAAGGATTTGCGTTTGACCTGGAAATACCACGTCTGTTGAAGTCACATTTTATTTGGTGAGTGCCTTTTGTCTTCCGTCTGTTTTGCTCGTATTTCACTGGCTAAGCACATTGCAATAGAAAATTTGTATTGCAATAGAACGTGTCTCTTAGCGCTCTCTCCCTCTGTTAATCTTTGACTGGCATCTTTCTCCCAGTGAAATCCGGTCTATGCGTACATGTTTTAATGCTTGGGAAGATAACAGTGGTAGCTTGGTTCTTCCAAATCTACTGGGAACAGACACAGTCTCAGTAGATATAACGTGATGTATTGTCTTAAAAAATCTCTTGTTGATACCTTCATAAATTAAAATAAGATGAGAATGTTCTTAGTGTCCTTCAGCCCAGGTAATATGATAGTATCCCTCCCAACCTGAGGCATCAGAAGATACAAGCAAGACAAAAGTCTACTTTGAAATCATCTTGCAGTTGCTTTGTGATTTATATTTGCATAACAATGAAGGCAAAACACAGGGCAATATTGTATCAAAGTATGTCATAAAATATATACTATCTATATTTTAAATGCTTTGCATAATTTATAAATAAAGCAGCACTTATGAAATGTATCACAAATACCTTCAGTCCTTGTTTAATTTGGACACAAAACCATGACTTCCTTCTTACCAAGGTAGCGACTACAATCAGTGTGAATTTTAAGCTGTTGTTGTGCCTGACTCAGGAATTCAGACTGTCTGCTTCTCGGCAGTAGCGGGCACCTGAAGGTGGAATCGACGGACTGAGCTTCTCATTTTTGCATTTAATTGATAAAATACGAGCTCTGCCTCCTTGCGTGGTGGCTCTAAAGTAGGCAAAACCTGCGGGGGGACCTCAGCCCGCACAGCCCGCCAGCCCCACACCCGTTTCATGGTGAAGAAATTCACACGATAACCTGCGTGGGAGTGCACTTTCTCTGTAACCTCTTAGCTAATAAGTCTCCCCAGTTTCCATGTGTCGCTGCAAAACCATGAAACTTGCTGTTTGACACGTGGAGAGACCTAATTAATGCATTAAGAGGAGAGTGAGGAAAAGTGCGGGTGAAACTTCAAAGTTTATATGTATATGTTTTTGTTAGTAAGGTTAAGACCTAAATGTCCCAAGTGAAAACCTCTGATTTGATGCCATCAGTGAGCACATGATGCCCCTTGAACATTAAAAACTGCTGAATGCCAGAATGATGTATAAATTGCAGAACGTTCTGTCCCTTCCCAGGGAGGTTGGGGGTGAAGGGTCCCTGTTCTGCTCTCACAAAGCACATTGGGCGTGCTGCTGCTACTTTGGAATGAGGACAGAAATCTTTGATGAGGGACAGGTTCCGCCCGCTCGCAGTAGGCGGCAGCTCTGGCTGTTCGCTAGTAACCAGAAGTGTGTGCTTCTCTCCAGCTGCTCCACTCGGTTTTAACGCTGTGCACTGTCTCTTTCTGTCCTGACGGCTGCCCTCGGAATAGGCTGACCTCTGCTCTCCGGGTGACATCCTGCACTTGGACTTTCGTCACATTCGAAAGACCGTTGACACTCTGCTGGCCCTCGGGGAGACACCCCCACAACCAACTCCTGTCCTCCGCGCCAGGGACCTTCTGAGCCTCTTTCTTGTCCATGTCCTGTGTGTAGTGCTGATCTATGTCACCTACCGCTGCAGCGCCCTGGCCACATAGCATCCTGGGCACTCTGCGTGCGCTCTGGCCCCGTCCCTCCTCCACCTGCGCCTTTGCCTCGCAAACTCCCATCCCTGCTAGCCCTTCAGTAGCCTGTCCAGTGTGGAGGCCGAACATCCACAAATCCGATTTTCCAAAAGCACAAGCCCCAGTGGAGTGCTGTCCCATTAGGTAACTTACTGTAAAACGAGGACGACAGTGTGTTTGTACCTCTCGCTACCTCATGCTTCCTCATCCACGCGGTGCCATTGGTCCCTCCTCTCCCGCCCGGTGGGATTCACTGCCCTGGGCAGCGTGCAAGAAGCTTCCAGAGCAGGAGCAAAGGGGAATATGAAAATCATTCCTTTGCAGTGTTTTAAGTAGAATCCAACCTAATTTGGGACTGGGCAGTTGAGCTGCAGGGGAGACAAACAAACAAAAAAAAACCCACTGCATTTTGGCCCAGTTCGGTCCATACAAATCTTTAGTAAAAGCACAACTGACCGAGTTTAAAAATTCCATGTGGAGGATGACCGCTTTGCTGACCATTCAGCGGGATTCCTCACTGTTTCCTCTAGTGGCAGCCGCAAGGGGACCCAGGGAGGGGTGCCGCCCACTTCTGCCCTGAGTCAGCCTAGGGCCCTGCTGCTCCAGACAAAGCTGTCCGCCTGCCTGCCTGCCTTTGGGGCAGAAGGGAGACCAGGGAAGGGAGAGGCTGTCTCCGTCAGAGCGCCCCCTGGAGGATTCGCTTGCACACCAATTCCCACATGTCTTTGCTGCTTGCTCTGAGTTAGCCTCTTGCAGGCTCTTAGAAAAGCACTTTCCAGAAGAGAGGTCTATTTTTACATACTGTAATGGCTCATTTTGGCTTTTGCTACGCCCCATCGTCACAGCAGGTCCAGAATATAGGATGGATTTGACTGTATTTGTTTTCAAATAAAGCTGTGAGTCATGGAACATTCTTGGCCCTGGGGCTTGAGTTACGGTGGCAGGAGCCAATGATAAGATTGTTCTTATTTTGGAACTGTAATGTCTCCAGTGAATTCAAATGTCCTTGTAACCTTGTTAGCAAGCTGCTTTTCTTTTTAAGTAAGCTTAAAGGATTATATATTAATTATCAATGTGTCTGCTGCGGGGCCATCTGATCAGCCTGTAATTAAAAGGTAAAACCAGTAGAATATTGTCTAGGCCAAGATATTCCTTGTTCTGGGGGGTCTTTTTCTAATATGAGAAGGCCCTACCCCAAAGTTAACACGGTCTCCCCTATTTTTCAGTCTGTACCTGCTGCTAAATAATGTTCATTAAACTGGGGAGCTGATGGAGTTAACTCCGTCAAGATAAATTCCTAGTTCACTAAGATGCAAGGGGCCTTCCCAGATGGCTACAAAGACGGTAACTTTGTTTTCACGAACAGGTCCATGAATCCAGGAGCGTCTATTTGTAAAGATTCTTTGTTGCTGAGTCAGCTGAGAGTTTCTAACGGGAGGCGTTCTCTATGTGATAATGTCTCCAGTTAACGGAGCCTCTTCCTTCCGATGTTGTGTTGGTCGGTGACATACAGGGTGTGTGGACGTGCCCGAGTGGACCTCGGCCGTGTGTGAACATGTACTGAATTGCCTTTGGTGCTCTCTTGTACCCTTCAGTCTGTAACGAAATAAAGTCCCTTTGTACCACGTCTGCGGAGCCCCCTGCGCCGTAAGCTGCCTAATAAACACATTTCAGGTGACTGTTCCGCGTGTTTCTCGGCGGTGCGTGTGTCCGCGCACACCCAGAGTGGCGCTGGGTGTTTCTCCTCAGCCCTGCAAGGCGCTCGGGCCTCCCGTCCACGGTCGCCACTGCTGGTTTCTGCTGCTTCTTTCTGGGGGCGGCCGAGGCGGAGAAGAGAGACGCCTCACTGTGCGGCCACCCGGGAGGAGACGTCAGTAAAACTCGAGTAGACCAACCACGTGAGAGCAGATGTAATGTTCCGTGTTGACTTGCCATTGTTCCCAGCCTGCATTCTGATTTTCAGTTGGAGTCTAAAGTAGTCTTTGGGCACACTTTCATCCCTCACGTCACGACTGGGCCTGCACCCTGACCTGCGGCTGCGCTCGGCGTCTGTCCGGTGGCACTTTCTCATGCAGTGGCACGGCAGCCAGCAGAACGCAGTGAGTTCAGCCCTTTAGACAAAACTTCCAGCGACCTGTCTCGCCCCTTATCAAGCTGTTCACTTCTGTGCAGCGTAGTAAGCCCGTCCCTGGTGCTTCCCCAAGCTTCCCTGGCGCCAGCCCCTTGTCCCCGCGTGATGTTGCTGTCGCCGTGTGCTGGGGAGCCGGGCCGCTGCCTCGTCCCCTGAGAGATGGTCAGGGGCGGAGCTGTGAGGTTATGTGTGCAAACTAGATCTCCCTCATCGGATGAGAAAGAACATTTTTTTTCAGCATGTCCTTCCCACGCCTGATAAAAAGAACCAAGTATTTATTTACATTTTCTTTTTGAAACAGAAAGTTCTCTTTCTCTAGTTCCTTTGCCCGGTGGCACATCCGCTTTCAGTGCCAGGATTTCCACAACGTGTGACGACTGGTTCCTCTTAGTTTCCTCTATGTGTGGATTCGTGGTTTGGACCGAGCTTACTGTCCTCCGGGAGAGATGCTCATGAAATGGGGTGGGTGACGGAGGGGGGGGGGGGGCCTGTGAACTCAGAAGGAAGGCAACTGAGCAGGAATTTCTTCAAGGAGGGTAGAGAAGGAAAGGCCCTTGGTGTGCTGATGCCACTGTGAGTGGGAAATTATAATTTACACCTGCCCCACCGTAAGAATAAAAGGTGCTTTTCACTCTCAGCGTAAAGGTGATGGACTATGGATTAGAATTTCAGGAGCCTGAAGTGAGTTCATATTACAGGAAAAATATTTTGGTATGGTTTTATCCAGGGGCTTTGTCTTCTTTAAATGAGGCTTCAGATTCTGAAATTAGTTCTCAGTAACAATCAGGTATGTAGACTCTGTGCTTTTTCCCTCTTTGATTGCCGGGGCCCGGCTGGTTCCTTGGGTTTTGGCCACAATCTGGTTCACGCCAGTGTTCACTGCTCCATCGCTCCAACACCAGTGGCTCAGTGTTCGTGCGCGGCCCACAGCAGGCCTTGGCTGTGAGACAGTGACCGTGACAGACCGCCCTGTCCTCAGAAACCTGTGGCCTAAACTGGGAATCAGACCTGGTTTCTGTAAAGTGCTCGGTAGTAAATGCTTGAGGTTTTGTGGGCCAGGCCGGTTCTGCTGTGACTGCCGATGATTTGCAAGTGAACGGGAGTGGCAGCATTTCAGTAAAACTTCATTATGGAACAGGCTGTGGGCTGGGTTGGTGGGCAGGCCGACGTTTCCGGACCGCGGATGTAGCGGACCCAGCGGACCAATACAGAGGGATGCGGCGCGGGGCGAGGACTGTGGCGGGTCAGGCACATGACTCGGACCTGACGGTGATGGGGTGGGGGAGTGGGCAGGTGGTCTGTGGAGCCCCCTGGACCCCGAGACCTGGGAGAGATGTGGGCGTAGCCGGGGCAGGTGTGCGGGTAGGGAGGCGAGGGGGGCCTGGACGGCAGCCTGGTGGGGAGGCGGGAGGCCGACGGACAGAAAGGAGCCGCCTCTGCCTGGGCGTGGTGGGCGTGGTCCCCTGGAGCAGAGCAGGAACGTGAAGTCTCTGACATCCAAACACTGTGGACCATCACATGTCAGGCTGCAGCCGGCCTAGCGCCAGGGATTCACATTTTACAAGCAGACAGAACGAGATGAGGTGGCCGCCGGGAAGGACGTCGCTTTGCCCAGCAGTTGGCCTGGGAGGCGGGCGGGCAGCTGTTGGGGGTTGAGGGAGACAGAAGAGAGGAGAGCCAGGCGGTGATGGTGGCGGTGGGCTGCCTGCTCCTGTGACGTATTTCCTGCCAGAACGAGCTGTCTGTGCCTCCGTGTGACAGCCGAGTGGCAGAGCTAATGCCTTTCACCAAGCCGGGGGTTCTTGGGTCCCCCCACCTGACGTCGGTTGTGTCAGGTTTGCCTGGATAGCACTCTGAGGGGCCGGAGCCTCTCCTGTCTCGTGGGCTCAAAACGGACGCACTGGTTGTTGATCACAGGCGTCCCGGGAAGCAGCACGACGTCTGGAAGGAGCCTGACCTGCAGTCGGAGAGTTCAGATCCTAGTTCTAGTGCTGACCAGCTGTGTGCCCTCAGCGAAGCTACTTAAGTCACCTCTCTCCACCCCAGTTCCCCTCCGTGTAAAGTGAAGGTACTGTATCGATCTTAGAAAGTTGTTGTGAAGAAATAACCAGTGCACACCTGTGTCCATGCCAGGCGCCTAGGACGCACCCAGGAGGTTGACGCTGCATTTCGTCTTTCCGGTCGGCCTGCCTTGGGCAGCCCTGTGCGCCAGGGTCCTGAGGAGGGTGGGAGAGGGGCTGTGAGCCAAACCCCACGGGTTCCACCACTGGTGACGAGGGGACAGAGCGTGTGCTCTTCACAGGGGCCCGGAAGCACTCCTTCTAGGCAGGAGAGTGTTTTATGACTGTCGGCTGCTTTAGAAAGAAACACGATGAAAGAAACCCGTGGCTGCATTAGAACAGCGTGCTGCCGGATTCTGCTGGCTTCTCTAACACTGAAGTTTAAATGCGTGTCAAGTCCGCGCACATGGATGGCGATCTCAGCTTAGAGTCCATTATGCACCAGGGGCGGCGGCCCTTCTCTGCCCTCTCTCATCCAGCTGTGGGTCCGCAGCAGTCCCGCCCCCACCCCAGCCTCTAGCTCACTCCCGGAGCCCCTCCCCATAGCAGGACCACCCTGCTGTGCGTGGTGTCTGTGACCTCACGCTGGTCTTTTTAGGCACCTGCCACCTCATCGGAGTAACCTCTGCACCTGCGGGCTCCTGCAGGCGCCGAGGGAAAGGGAGGCACGAGGGAGGCACGGGCACCTTTTTCCATGTTCTGTCTGCTCCTCGTCTCCAGCTGGAAGGGCTGACTGGCGGCAGGCTCCTGGACCCGCACCTGGCTCAGGTGCGAGGACACCTGGAGGGTGAGGAATAAATGCTGGTTGGAGAAATTAAGGCCCTGGAGAGGTGGTGCTCTTAAGCTGCTTGGTCTTTTCTGTCTCCAAAGTCCTGTTAGCAGGAGGCTGAGGCCTCAGTTCCTGCCCACCCCTGCCTCCACGGAGCCCTCAGTCTGCCCAGCCGTGACCGCCATTGCCGACCCTCTGCAGACCCCTGGAGCTGCTGCTCATCAGTGGGACCAGGGCGGTCACCAGAGGAGACCTGTCCCCTCTAAAGCAGGACCCGAGTAGGACCCAGGAAGGCTGGAGCGTGTGTACAGACTCGGCCAACAGGGAGTGTCAGCACTGACAGTAGTTCGGGAGCATTCGGGAGCATTCGGGAGGGGACAGAGGAATCCTTTTCCTTGAGTCGCATGTGCTGGACATTTCCCAAGAGCAAAAATAGTGTGAGAACGTAGCAGGCCGCTTGTGTCTTTCACCGCTGTGTGAGAGAGACTCAGAGAGAGGCTGCTGAACACCATTTATTTGCACAGCTGCTCGTAAGCCCCAAAGACCAACCCGTCAGCACGCCTGCATTCCGGAGGTCACACGAAGCAACATGAATTGAGCCCAAGCTCCTGCTCAGTAGAACAGTGTATGGTCTATATAAATGAGTAGCTGTAAAATGTGTGAAAGGCTGTTTGCGATTTTGCTTTACGAGATTGCAAGCCAGCCACAGGCTGTGTGGTTCAGTGGATTGAGTGTTGGCCTGCAAACCAGAGGGTCGCTGGTTTGATTCCCAGTCAGGGCACGTGCCTGGGTTACAAGCCAGGTCCCTAGTAGGTGGTGCACCAGAGGCAACCACACATTGATGTTCCCCTCTCTTTTTCTCTACCCCTCTGTCTAAAAAATACAAACTAGTGTGACCTTTGTGTAGTTTCCAGCTGACTGTGTGTATCTCAGTTACTTGGTGTAAAGGTTTTTTAAATGTTCAGATCTTCTGCAGATTTGGGGATGATCGAGCACCTTTCTGGAACCACACTCACTGGAGTAAAATCACTGTTATTTTCTCTTTGTAATGGGCTGAAAGCAGGGGAGGGACCGCAGTCTGCAATGACAAGGCAGATGTGTGACAGCTCCGCTTCACCCCCGTCAGTGCCGTTGGCCAGATGGTGTGACGACGTGCCGGTCATCTGCAAACTGATGTCTGTTCTTTCTTTTAGGATAAGCTGTGTCTGCCCCATCACATCCTCGAGGAGAAGGGCCTGGTCAAAGTAGGCGTCACAGTGCAAGCATTGCTAGACGTGACTGTCACGAAGGCACTGTTCACATGAAACCAGCCCCCGTCTTCGGACCTGCTGGAACCCTCCTCCCATCAGAGATCCGGAACTCTGCTCTCGGCCCCGCCCCCAGCCCCCACTGCCCATGCTCCATGTCCGCAGCTGCATAAAAGGGAGGGCCCAAGAGAACATTTTCTGCCTTTCAGAACTGACTTCCAACGACACCAAGTGTGACAGGTGTTTTTTCTCGGAGCCAGGGAGGCAGCTGGTCCTGAAGAACTGAACAGCCTATCGAGGCCTTTCGCAACCTCATGCGCCCCTCCCGCCCCCACCCACGGCCATTACCAAACACCAAGCACAGCTGTTCCACAGCAAGATGCACTAGTTTTACTAAAGCCAAACTCATTGTGTATTGAATGGGGGGAGGGGGGCTCAGTCAAGTTTTCACCACCAAATTTTTTCAAGATGTTTCTTGAGACCATTGCCTTTAAAAAAAAAAACTATTTTCGACATACAAAATATTTATATAAATATTATTTATTAGTGAATGGTTATTCATCCTTTGGATGCAAATTGTAAATTAGGAAACTATTTTATTACTGCTTTTTTGTGGTTAAACACTTTATTTTAATATTATAAATATTGAGTTATTTTCTATCCTCTTTGGCGTGCAGTAGTCCGGGGTCTCAGTAATCATGTTTTATGGTATATGTGACTCAGAAAAAAAAAATACAATTCAGCAAAACACAGGTGCTCCTCTGTCAAGAACTGTTTTCTGGGGAGGCGTTGCTCCCACTTGGGTTTTTATAACATTGGTCTTATTTATGTTTTCTACATTCCATCCACGTGCCTGCATTCCCCTGCCCACGGTCCCCCGACACAATACACGACCGAAATCCAGAGAGCACCCAGAGTGATGTGTAAATAGCTGTGATGGGGAGAAGGAAAACAAAAGACATTATTAAACTTGAAGATAAAATGTGAACAACTATTTTTGGGGATTCATACTTATTTTGCTATACACAAAACATTCACATTTTAACCCAAAGAAGCCTCAAGTGTCAGCTTCATGAGTCTTGAAGTATCGTTTTGCACTGTTACTCGGGTCATGGAAGAAGTCTAGCACCAAAGGCAGATCCCGAGGAAGTGGGATGGGAGCGCGGAGAGGATGCTGAGTTTTTCGTTGAACCAAAAAGTTCGTGAAGGTCAGTTTCCGCTGCGGGCAGACCAGAGCTCCTCCCGTGAGACCCCCGAGGCCTGAGTCGGGGAACCGGCACTTCCCGCAACTGCCAGTTTTAAAAGGGGGAAGGTCTCATGTT